CATGTTTTAGGCTTTTGGGGCTGAGTGGTCTCCATGGCAACTACTCAGCTCTGCACAAAAGAAGTCACAGATGAAATGTAGATGGATGGGGCAATTCTAAGATTTATTTATGAGCATTAAAATCTTATAATTTTCAGTGCTCATGAAATCTTCTTATTATTATGTTTTCAATCATTTAAAAATATAAAATAACATTCTAAGTTTATGGATAACATACAGTGGAGTTAGATTTGGTTCAGGTTGTGATTCGCTGACCCCTAGACTAGTCATCAATAATGCAAACTGTAAAAAATAAAAAATGAGAAGACAAAACTCATCTTTCCTTCCTTTCTTCCTGTTATTTTATCTATCTATCATCTATCTATCTATCTATCTATCTTCCTACCTTCTATCTACCTACCTACCTATCTGGTATCTGGCAGCACACAAGATATAGTGAGGCAGTCCCATGAGAGTGGAAGGCAAGATTATCAGCCTCTCAAACTCAGCCAGAGTAGTACACTGTAATGGGCTAATCAACAGTTACTAGGCATTGAACCCACACAACTACCCTGAGTTTCTGTGGCTACAGGATTGTTCATAATATTCAAAGTGAATGCAGTTACACGGTATATTTGCGTTCCAATACCCATCACATAAGTTTTTCCTATGACATCTTCTCTGTCAACTTATGTCTTCATTGAATTCCCCTTAATTTTTCATGATTGTGGGGAAACCATAAGAGTAGCTTGCCTTGTGGCAATGATTGGAGCATCATTATTTATTTATTATAGCAGAAGGGCTTTTTATTACTTGAGGATTTGACAACACCCAAGAAATATTATGTCCTTCCTAAGACACTTGGATACAAAATGCAAAGAAATCCTGGGAACAGTGACCTGTGCTTTTCCCAAGTTCCAGTTCAGAAAAGTATTTTATTTACTTTTAGTAGAACATGAGCACTGAGAATTCTCTTTTAAAGAAATTTCACCAGCAATCCAAGAACTATTTGGGCAGAAAATATTTTATATGAATATATTGGTTGTTAGAATATCAGGTAAATTGAAATTACTATTTTTGAATCAGAATGGTCTGATACAACCAGGAGGTTAAGGTTCAGGGATTAAGTGAGTTACTTTTCCTTCAGAAAGATGCTGCTGGGAAAATCACTGTCATAGCATGCACTTGCCTATCAGAATCACCTTCAGGAGATTTGTGTGGCTTTGTAAACAATTATTAGGGAAGCTTCCCACTAACATTAAAAATATATGCTTAAATATTGTTTTTCAATGTAATATAAATGTTTGAATACCAATGTGAAAAAAGCATATGTAAAGGTGCCAGATACTTATATGGTAAGAAAAGGCAAAGAACTTGTGTGAAAGCATATTTCTCACTGTCTTCTGTCTGAATAAATACTGCTGCACAGTGTATAAAGACTTAAAAATTCCATTCATGAAATTTTCATTTACGATTTCATGAAAAAAAAAAACACACCAGCATTATTATAACACCAGAGTCCATCGTTTAGACAGGTTTCAAATGGGAAAAAATAAAAGTTTTTTTTTCTGAGTAGTATGAGATATTAGGGAGAGGTGTGATCTAAAATTACTTTACCTCAGGGAAAAAATAAACTTTTTTTTCCAAATGCAAACTACATTGAATGATCTGAGTCAAGGAAAAAACCAACTCTTTGTAGTCATTTAAATAGAGGCTACATCTTAGGATAACACAGCCACAGCCTATAAACAATGGTATTAGTTTTTGAACTCAGTTATGAATTTAATTACATGAGTAGCAGCAAGCTTACCAGGTACTATGAATGCCTAGACAGAAAATATATATCAAGGAGAAATAGTGCCTTGAGAAGAATGTGTGACAAGAATACAAATATGGGAGACAGGATTAAGCATTGATTAGAAAGTCTCGGCAGTGAATAAATTAAGTTTGAAGAATGGTGTCTAAAATGTTAATGAATCATACAATTTGTGTTATCTAAGAGTAAGTTGTAAGTGCAAATACTGAGCTCAGGAAATGGCAATAACTAGAGATGTGCATTTGGTATTTGTTTGCACAGAATAGTAATTAAAATCAAATGAGTGAGAACAAAATTGGAGGAATCACACTAATATCAAACTGTACTATAATGGCATAGTAATCAAAACAGCATGATATGGCATAAAAAACAGACACATAGATCAATGAAACAGAATAGAGAACCCAGTAATAAACCCATACCTTTATAATCAATTGATATTCAACAGAGCGAGCAAGCACATACAGTGAACAAATGATAGTTTATTCAATAAATGATGTTGGGAAAATTGGACAGATACATGCAGAAAAATGAAACTAGACCACCTTCTTACAACACACACAAGGATAAGTTCAAAGTGGATTAAAGACTTAAATGCTAGACCTGAAACCATGAAAATCCTAGAAGAAAATATAGGCCACAAAATCTCAGACATTGTTTGTAGCAATATTTTATCAGGTATATATTCTCAGGCAATGAAAACAAAAGTAAAATAAATAAATGGGACTATATCAAAATTAAAGTTTTTGTACAGCAAATGAAATCATCAACACAATAAAAAAACAACCCACAGAATGGGAGAATGTATTCACTAATACATCTGGTAAGGGGTTAATATTCAAAATTTACAAAGTACTTAACAAACTCCATACCAAAAAACCACAAAGAACCCATTTTAAAAAATGGGTAAAGGCTCTGAATAGACACTTCTCCAAAGAAGACATACAGATGGCCAATAGACATGAAAAGATGCTCTATGTTACTAATCATCAGAGAAATGCAAATTAAAACCACAACAAGATGACATCTCACACCTGTCAGAAATGGCTATCATCAATAAATCAACAAACAATGAGTGCTGGCAAGGATGTGGAAAAAAGGGGACCCTTTTGCACTGTCAGTGGGAATGCAGATTTGTGCTGACACTATGGAAAGCAAGCTGGAGATGCCTCAAAACAATAAAAATGGATCTGCCTTTTGACTCAGTGACCCCACTTCTGGGAATTTATCTGAAAGAACCCAAAATACTAATTCAAAAGAACATAAGCACCCCTATGTTCATTGCAGCATTGTTTACAATTGCCAAGATATAGAAGCAGCCCAAGTGTCCATCGGTAGGAGAGTAGATAAAATAACTATGGGATATGTACACAATGAAATACTATTTGGCCATAAAAAAGAAGAAAATTTTACCTTTTGGGGCAGTATGGATGGACCTGGAGAATACTATTATGCTAAGTGAAATAAGCCAGTCAGAGAAAGATAAATACCATGTGATTTCAATCATATGAGGAATCTAATGAACAAACTTACTTAATAAGCAAAACAGAGACAGACTCATAGATGGAGAGTAGACAGCTAGTGGTGGTGGTGTCGGGGGCAGGTTAGGGGGTAGAGGGATTGAGCAGAAAGGAAGAAGACTCATGGACATGGACAACAGTGTGGTGATTGCTGAGGGAATGCGGGTTGTAAGGGGACTAAATGGTAATGTAAAAAAATATAATAAAGATTAAATTAAAAATAATATGTTTGGCCAAGTTAAAAAAATAAATGAATAAGATGGCTAGTGGATATGTAAAAAGAAGAGGACTTGGACAGAACCACAAGGAATCCCTACACTCATGGGCTAGAGGAAGGCAGGCTAATGACGGAAATTGAGAAGGAACTTCCAGAGAAAAAGGAATTTCTGGGGCTTATGGCTGAAGTAACAGGTAAAGAGAGACTCCACAATGCCCACTGATGCAAAGAGGAGATGGAGGTATTTCAATGGTTAAAGGCCATTGGATTTTCTTATCATGGGAACACTGAAGACTCTGGCAAAACCAGTGTTATGGCAGAGGTGGCAATGAGTGAAGGTTAGGCCTAGTTTCATGTCCTGTCATATGATTTTGAAGCCTAGAATGAAGTAGAGAATAAAATATAATAAAAAATGAATTAGAACATAATTGATAAAGAATGATCCTAGAAATATCAGGAGAAGATAAAATTCGAAGCAGAAGAGGAAATGGTTAGTCTGGGAAGGTAGGATTATTCCTCAGGTATGGGACAGGCAAAGAGAGGACTAGTGAAAACACAGATCTGTCCAACTGAGGGAGAGGATGCCAAATAGCACATGTCAGATGCTTCTCAACCTCAGCCCATTATAAAGTATAATTATATGAGAGTGAAAGATTCATATCTGAGGTTTATGTATAAGAATAAACAAGGGTAATATAAGAACTCTGTAAGAAAAGCACACTTGGAAAATTGTATTTAGCCAAGAAAAAATAGCCCATCTTAAACTGATTGAAGTTTGAGTGCAATTTATTCCTTAGCTTAGAATACATACATATTCCACCACTACACATCTTACAGTGAGGTTTACAGACATATTTTATATGCATTTCTTAAACTAGTAGAGAAGCTACCTAATTTCATGGACTAATTGTAACATTACAACAAGACAAGAGATTTCATCACTGCCTGCAAGGTAGTCAGGGATGTTAGAAAGATATGAATTACTCCCTGACAGGCAAACTAGTTTTTTCTCTTGCGTAAGTGGTTCTCAAACTTCAGTGTGCATTAGATTTACTAGAGGGCTTGTTAAAACACAGATGGCTGGCTCTCAGTCCTAGAGTTCCTGAGTCGGTGCCTCAGAATTTGCATTTCTAATAAGTTCTTGGGTGATATTGATTTTGCTCTTCTACTCTGGGGACCACGCTTTGAAACCACTGCCACAAGGCTAGCCATTCAACAACATGTAGGTCTAGAAACAAGAGCATTTTCACTTAACTGTCTATTGAAGGAAACTGCCAAACTAGAGTTTGTAAATATATTAAAATAGTACCATTAATATTTTTAAGAAACTATCTGTATCTTTTTAAAAAACTATCTCTCTGATAGTCATACAGAAGTAAACATTGGGACTTCTTGGTACCAGTATCACAGCCCTTACCCATTACACTCTTTTTTACACATTAAAGTATAGTGTGGCTCAGATACTTACCTGTTCCAAGAAACAGGACGTTATATCTGCCATCAGCAGCATTCACTCGATCCACAGCTATCTTTGTGTACTTGTAGTCAGTGCCTATACGAACAATCAGTGGCCTTTTGTGGATTGGGTAGATGGAATTGTACATGAAAGGGTGGTTCCGAATGAAAGTGACAACGTCATCTGGGAACTCCTTGGTGGTTCGCATATTGGGTGTAAATGCTCCTCCTGGGCACTAAAAAACATTTTTTTAAATATAAAGTTAATAAAATATTTGCTTAATTTTAGTAATGATCAAAATACATAGCTCAAGTTGTTTTGAGTTTACTTCCTGTCCACTGATGAGCAAACAGCATAACTATATACAGTACTATATAATACTATCTGTAGAAAATGAATATATGAGGTATATAAGTTCATCATTTAAATGAGGCTAAGTCCACTTATCCTACCCTATTTGTTTACAGAGAGGAGCTGGCACCATTGTGTATGTAACTTTTCACTTTCTTCACCCATTACCTTTCTATTTCTTACTCTGTGCCAGATACAGTATTGCTAGGAAAAAAAAATACCATGTGGATATAATTGAATGCTGTTACTGGTTGAGATGAATTAGATTGTCATTATCAAATTCAATCAGAACTCTAATGTGCAGAAATTTTAGTCCATTTGATCTGTTTTTCTGAAGGAAGGATCTCTGAAGTCAGAACTTGGGTTGGATGTGGTAAATCAGACCTGACAATTCCCTCCTGAAACCACTGAAAGGACCCCAGTGACTTCTATTGATCGTAGAATAAAATGCCCACAGCTTAGCGTGGCCTGCAAGCCCCTGGATGCCTGGCTTGCACCTCTCACTCCTGCAGCAATTGCTGCTGCTCCTAAGCCTCAGGCACGCTCCCACTTACACCCTGGCACTTGCTGTTCCCCATCTGAAATACTCCTCTTCACACAAGTCCATGGCTTTCTCTGTTACTTCATTCAGTTCTCAGTTGAAAAATTTCTTCCTTAAAGGTGAGGACACAAATAAAAATAGCTCTCCCTTTCCATTTCCACTGTCTCCTTAGCCTGCTTTATTTTGCTTTACAGTCCTATTTACCTAACTGTACATTATATTGGATGCTTTTGTTTTTATTGTCTGTTTCTCCCTCTGGAATGTAAGCTGTGTATTGACATTAACTGGGTATATTTTGTTCATTGTCTCACTTTTAGACCTATAACAAAGCTGACAAATAGTAGATATTTGACAAAGAGTAGTGAACTACTCTATTATATCTGGCATCTAATTTTGGTGCAGGGGCTGTATGAAATAGGGCCTCAATTCTGGCCAACGGAGGAAAGATTCAGAGCATCGAGTTCAAAGGGGTAGATGGAAAGCAAAAATGAGATCTGGAAAAGGACTGCTGGATGGCTTCAACAGTTCTGGAAAGGGAGCATGACAAGGGCTTCTGAGGAGAAGATTCCATTTACAGGGCACCTGAGGCCAAACTCGAGGGTAGGCTGGGAGCCCTGGAGCTTGGAACTCACACACACTCACTAATAGGATCCAAGTGTTAAGCAATATGAGCAAAGCTTTTGGGTATATTCTTTTAACACATATAAACGTTATTTGTCTAACCCTATTAAACATCTGTCAATATCTCTACTTTCAGAAAATAAATAACTTGGTCAAATTTTTCTTGCAAATAACACTTCTATTTTGGTTTTCTTTTTTCCTCACTGAAGAGGTACAAGGTAAAAGGGAAGCAATGAAGCAAGCTTCCTAAACAATAGCAATGGGCACAGCACCTGTGGTAAACAGCAGGATATAATAAGCACAGTAACAAACTGCAAAGGGATGCTTCATCCAAAGGTGGAACTGAACCCTTATTTCTAGCTGACTGCATCTATGCAGTAATATAAACTTGGTGTGGCCAGATTTGAACAGACGATGGAAATGTGGAATTTTATGTGAAACCTGCCAAAATGTTAATGTGGACTCAATGAAAAAAAGATAAACAATTTTAGGGACCAAACAAAACATGGAAACCTCTGGGTCAGGCCTTGCAACAGCCATGGAATAATGCCAGCGTCTCTGGACGAGCACTGCCGGGCAGACCCACACTGGCACATCAGTCTCAGCAAATTCTTAAGGCAGCCGTGTTCATTGAGACTGAATCATGCTGAAAGCAATTTTTAGGCTAACTTTGACCAGTTAACATTATTAGAATTTTTTACAGGACTAGTAAATATAGTTCTCTTTTTGTAGAAAGGCATAAGGAGCAATTAAATGATTTCACTAAGGAGGGATAATGAGAAAGTAATATAACAAAGCCTTTTATTTGTTATCCCATTAACTAGACTTTTGTCTGGGGTCATATGTTTTGTTTTTTCCTTAAAAAAAAAGGCATTATATTTAAATATACATGTCTATGAATTGCCCACACTGAAGACCAAATGAGGACAAAGCACTTCATTTGAGGGTGTTCTAAACTGATGAATGTGTTCCACACTTCTCAAAAGTATATGATTATGGGTGTTTTCTGCCCTCATTCTTCATACAAAGCAGAAAAAGGGAAATACATTGCTCATGGAATAAAAACACGGAAAGAACAAATGCATTGGCAATTTAAGTAGTTCCAGACTTTCATAAAACAACACTAATTATGGTTTGCTAAGCTGAGATGTCTCTTCAAAATATTTGCAAGCATTCTCATTTGTAAGTTCAGGAGAGATCCAAAGTTAGCACATATTACAACTTGTATAATTTCCAGTTAGCGATTATTTCTGCATACAATAAACTAATTAAATTATGTGCCTTATTTATGGGTTTTACTTCACAATCACGAAAACTCAGGTACGAACTTATGTTTGTAAAACCATAGTTATTAGATCAGTAACCAAACAAATCAACTAAAATCAGTTATTCTATATTTACTAAGATATCCCGCATTTGGGACTTCTGTTTATAATATTCACAATAAACTTCTTTCTCAGAAACAAGCATCTCCTAGTATGAGTTTATTTCAAAATTACAAAAAGTTTGTTTTGACAATAATTAATTTTCCATTCATTCATAGCATAAACTACAGATAAATTAGAATAAATGATAATGATGGTGACAAGAACAAAAATTGATTACCCTTTCTAGACTGTTTGGATTTGAGAGTTTGCTCATTGTAACACTGCCAAGTATAAATAAGATGTGATTAACCTACCCTTCACCTTGTATATGTACAAGTTTGTGTACTGAAATCTAAAGGTAACCATCCATCCATGTGCTACCACTAAACAAAGCCTCCATCCATTAATTAGGTTGGTGTCTCATTCCTCAGAAGGATAATTTTACTCCACAAACAGTCATTAAGTAATTTGGGTTAAACTTTTTCTTTAAATGTTTGTTTTTCTCCAGTTCTAGTGTTCTGTTTATCACATAGTGATAAGCACTCCTTCTCTGAGTAAAGACATTTTAAGTGTTTTGATTACTAAAGTGTTAAGTGAAATGCTAGGAACAATAACAACGCCATGATAAAGAAGTGTCAGCAATGGCTGCCCTTAATTTCCTTCCGATTCTCAGGTATTCTCAAGCATCTGCTGACCTCTGATGCTCATAAATGTTTTCCTAATTCTCACAGCCATTATGCTAGTCTTCATCATTAACATATTCATATATTGATTCATATGTCCATTCTCTGAACAGCTTTTGTCCAAAAAGCATTTTGATGTACCCAGAGGAAAACCTAAAAATAAGGAGTTACAACTGTTTTCTAGACATAAGTATTCTGGTTAGAAACATGGACATCGTCAAAGCAAAATAAGACATAAATAATAATTTAAGAAAAACATAAAATAAATAACAGAGCTTGGGTCATAATCAATGAACATATGTTTAAGAGTCAATATTCTTTTAAACAAATTTAGAATAGTGGACCACATAAAGCTGCCAGGGTCAGTGAAGTGGTTTAGAAATAAGTAAATGAAGTTTGGAGTATTTAGAGAATTATAATTTCTGGGGCATTGTTGGATCATAGAATACAAAGTGGTGGCAAGAGGTAAGAGCATAGGGTGACAGCAGCAGAAAATAAATGCAAATCCAGTTAGAGGAGTAACTGGCATGGTCAAGGGGAACTCGACTTGACACTTGAAAGATGAGTGGTAAACTGATAAAAAGGTAGACTTAGCAATATTGCAGAATTGGGGCTAGTTTCTAGCACTGGCCTATAAAATATGTATTTTGAAGAAACTAATCTTATGTTTAGACCCTTGGTAATCTAGGCCCTTTATTTATTTAAAGCCCACAATTACATAGTTGAAGTCTTGTACTTATACACCAGCTGGCCCTCTTCTTCCTCACATTTCCTCCCACTACCTAGAAGAACCCTCTGCTCCAGTCCTGCCAGCCAGTGCAGAGCTTCTGGGACTCACTTTTCTTTGCTTTCTTTGACTTGTAATGTGTATTGTAATCTTGGCCTGAAACAGCCTTTCTTACCTATCCAACTTATTCACGTCCAACTGCCCCTCGGGACCAGCTCAATCTCATAATTTTGACATGCTTTCCTGGACAAGGCTGATGTGCAGCAAGCTCTCCTCCAGACTGCCATGTTCACTGTCTATTTTATTCATGCATTTTGAATGACCTGAAACAATATGCACTTTGATTTTTCATGTCTCTATGCCTCATGTGTTTAATATAATTCTAAACTTTACTAAGTATTTTCAAACATCTAAGAGAAACAGAAATACTTCTAATGTGAGAACAATGGGAAGATACATGTAATCAACAAAAGTCCTAGCAATCAACTTCTCTGTTTCTTGTCAACACTATGTGGATAATGGATTTTCTGTGTTCTTTTGCTCTACCAGGTACCAGACCTGTTAAAAGTAATATGGTTGAAGCCAAGGGTTCTGATCCACTTCTAAACTGATATTAAAACTGAACGCTTTTATTAGGTTCCGCCTTAACAGGATAGTATATGTAAATACAATCTACTACAGAAGCTTTATACACATTGCAACAGGATAATGTAATATGTTAGCTCAGCCACAGAGAGAATCTGCAGCTTTTTGGCTGCCCTTTGCAACATACCAAAGGTGTCTTGTTTCTTCCACAGACTTGAATTACTTATGGAAAAACATTATGACACAATTGGCAGGCTTCTTCCTACTGACTTTGACTTGCTGGTCGGGGCAGTTTGCTCACACAACTATCAATCCTGCTTTAAATGAAGCACCTACAGGGAGAATTACAAGGAGGGTATAAAATTTCTGCCCATGTAATTTCTTTAAGAATCCAGTCATATATTTATGAGGTTGATGTGGCAACTGGACTACTGTGTAGGGAAATAAAGGACAGCAATCACAACTGACCCTTCATTGCAAGGACTTCAGAGGCAATATTCTTAACCCAAGAGAAGAGGGAATGCTTTGGATCACTTGGCTGTAGGTTTTCTGGCCACATGAATGGGATATTAAATCCTGGAAGTTCAGGGAAGAGACAGACACTTCTGGCCACTGTGAGTCAGAGACCTGACTTCACGATGTGTTGTACAGTAGAGGGTGGAGGGACCAAAGCTTCAGGGAGAAATGCTTTTCTAGGAGGAGTTCCAGAGGTCATTCCTCCACCCTGCCTCTTTTATTCCCTAAGGAGCACTCATTTGACTTTTTTTTGTCCTTTTTACATTTAAAGGCTCTGCTCTTTTCTCAGCACCAGATGTAGGGAACCACATTACAGAAATGTGTCTCAAGTACTGATTATTCCCTTTTCTCATGGAGTCAGCTCCAGATGTGTGTCACTAAGCTCTGGCTTATTCCATGATGCTTTAAAGAGGAAAAAAGTAAATGCTTATTCTTAGGAGCTCAGAAATAGTAAAAATGGAACTGCTAGTAGAATTTTCTAGTTTAGCTTTGGTTTATTTATTGTTTTACTAAAAAGGGTTTATCTATTCCCACATTTTATGTAGTGTAATTGCTGTTTGACATGAGTGGTTCTCCCACTGTGATTCTCAGAGTCCTTCTGAACCGGGTGAAGGGTCTGGTGGGCATTGGGACAAGTAGGCTTTTCGGCAGGAAAAAATTCCTGATTTGTAATATGTGCCAATTTCTATGGTGTAAATACTTCCATTATGCTGATTTCAAGTTTTTGGGTGATGTCCGTACTTGAAAAAAGACGCACACAATGCACTCTTGTGAGCCAGTGTAAGCTGGCTCCAGCACACACTCACTGAGGCTCTGTAGCCATTAACCCTTATTCAGAGAGTGTGGCTCTCTTTTATCTGTTTCATTGATTTATCCAAGGGATTTCTCTTACGGTATTATTTAGGGGCAAATGAAATTTTGTTGAGTTTACAAATCAATTGCTCCTTTACTATATACCATATATGTGTTACTCAAAGAACAATTGATGAAAGTGTACACAACCACAAGGACCCCTCCATTTTCTGTATTGCAGTGAAGCAATGACTTTGTCAACTTCCAATATCAATACTTCTCAAATATATTTATCTCTGAATATGTTATCAGTGAGTCATGAAATACACTAAATGAAAGAATGAGAGCTTTTGAGTTATAATGGAATTTGAAAGTTACTCAGTTCCCCCTTCACTTTCTCTTCTCTTACGTAATCTCTGTTTTTTATCCAATATAGTCCAAACTGAGGTGTTTTAAGATAAATATATCTCCTGACTTCTTTTTCTTATGTTATACAAAATAATTAATTTTTTTTATTTTCCCCTATTTTGCTGAGATATGAGGTCATAATGATACTATTTAGAAGGTGATTATGAATTCTATGATAGGACTGTGTAGCCAGCCATGATTAAGATTTTTTTTTAATTTAATTCTTTCGTGGATAAGTAGTAATGCTGATCATCTTTCCAAAGTTAATTTAAAGTTAACTTACTAATAAAATACATATTAATGATTAATCTTTCAGTTATCTAACAGGAAACCAAACTTCAATTTTGAATAAATAGGAACTCTTAGAGAATTATTTTTTTGTTGTTGTAAAAATACTGGCAACAGTGTAATTTAAGATGAGAAAATAAGGGAGTAAATAATACATTGTGAAAAAACTCTAATAGTAACAAAAACACAAAGAGAATCTACAACTGGTTAAAATTATGTGGGATGAATATCTGAAAGCATATTGGCAAAGGAAATTATTTATTCAAGTTAAAAGAAAAAAGAAACACTTTCAAATTTAATATTATTTTAACAACTCCATTGTAATTTTTTCCATACAATCATTCTTCTTTACTTACATACACTTTATTTTATCATTTTAACCCTATTCTATGAATGCATAGACATCAGAAAATTATATTCCTATTGATGTCAGTTGTATAATATCTGTATCTTCTCTCAATCAGTGCACTGTACGACATTGTACAGAGACAGAAACTAATCAATATTTTAGAATGCAAGGCAGCACTGTTATAGATTAAAAAAATATATCAGGACTGTGATCATTGTTGTCTAAAAAATTTCATTTCCAATCTGCCAGTGTACACTCTGTAACTTCACCTGAAAAAGTTAGTTTTCTGTGTACCCTTTAATACTACTAATATTATAAGATACAGATATATTTATATGCCTCAAACTTTATAGTTTATAAAAAGTTTGTTTGAATTGAAACATTACTTTCATTGTAGTTATTTGCTTCTAAGTACCTTTTTCCATCTTTGAGAAATAACAACATAATTTTAAAAATCAATATACGCCTTAAAATTGAAATATCATCATATAATTTATCTCTAAATTAATTCTCACATGGTTATTTCTTCACAAAAATAGATGAGGTTCCTTAACACAAGGAAGAGTTGTGAAAAGCAACTATCATCCAAATTCTTAGGTTGCCACCAAAAGGTTAACACTTTCCAAGCTATGGTTTTTATGTCAATATAATTAAGAAAATATCTCTTCCTTATCTAATATACCCAGTGGCCTTGAATCTAAATAAGATTTATTAGCAATAGCACTTAGAAAAAAATGTAGAGAGTGATATATGTATAAAATAAATAAATAAATAAATGTAAATAATAAATAAATACATATATATTTTTTTAAATCCCAAATCTGGGAAGCTGTGACCTAAAAAATTATAATAAACGTACCAGTAGTTCTATGGTTGTATCTAAAACCATCAAATTGATATTCATTTAAGTTATATTTTTTTAAAAAGTAAAATAACAGGATGTTTTCTGGTACTTACAGTTCCAGGGCGTGGGTATGGGATTCTACCCTGATATGAAATCAGCTGATGATTTGGCCCTTCTTTGTGGGCAAAAGGGCCATTAAATACAGTCTGTATATCAGATAAATGATATACACACACTGCTGATCCTTTAAAAACTGAGCTACAAAAAGAGAGAGAGATTTTCTTATTATTGGAATTTAAATGCAATTTAAAAATAGATGGCAAAGCTTATGATAAAAAAATTGATGTAATTCATTATGGAAAAGTTCAATTTCATGGTATACCTTATAAAGTTAAAAAGTTTCTACTATTTTCAAATAAATCACTACTATATAAAACATTAAGACATTTATTTCATTCATGAATGTTGTAGACAATGCTATAGAAAAGTTCTCAACATTTCTGAAATACAGTACAAATTAAAGAAGTTTCTAACTAGTTTATCTTAGCAACAAAAAGTGATTTGATGATTTATTAAAAATATGATTTTAAATTCTATATCATTATCAATACTAATTATGACTTCATTCACAGAAATAAATCTCATTAATAGGAGAACACCATCTCTTCGTTTTTAATATGAGTGGTCTTATATATCATCCTAAAGAATATCACAGAAGTCTAAATTATTGTTACTTATGTTCTTTTATAAAAAAGAAACTCAGAATAGAAGGGTCCAAAATGGATGCACTAAGTTACCTTTAGTCAGTAAAATCCCATAAAATTTGTTTGGATCCTTAATGGAAACTATTTCTGTTGTCATTTAAGGTAGACTGACTGAAACCAACATTTCTCTGACTCTCACATATTTCTCTTAAATTACATGCATAATAGAAAACTTATATGGCCAGTGAAAATTAGATGCCCATTGAAAAAAACAAGCTACATTATTAATCATCAGCAGTAACAGTCAGAAATGACAATTTACATGTTTCAATATTAAAGCTATTGGTGATGGGAAAAACAGAAACTAGAAAAGTATTTTTTTGAAATGAATATTTTCTTCTGAAGAATTTGGCACTTGCTGGTGTGGCTCAATGGATTGAGCACCAGCCTGAGAACCAAAGGGTCACTGGTTCAATTTCCAGTCAGAACACGTGCCTGAGTTGCAGTCCAAACCCCAGGAGGGGGTGCTTGAGAGGCAACCACAAATTGATGTTTCTCTCCCTCTCTTTCTCCCTCCCTTCCCCTCTGTCTAAAAATTAATAAATAAAACTTTAAAAAATAATTTGGTTATTTTTTCTATGTTCGATTCTTTGTGACTTAAATCAAGACTACCTTCTTTGTTAGAACAGAAGTTAAACTTATTCTAAAGGATATATTTTTAGACATCTTCTAGGGTAAATGTTAATATGATTTATAATAAAAATTCCTATGATTTTTTTCTTTGAATGGCTCATCATAGGTTAAAATCATACCATGTTTCCCTCACTAAAAAGGAATGCTAAAATCTTTAAATTTAAATTTTGTAATTGACTGTCTATCTACAGGAACCCCTTACATTCTAAAAGGCTATGTCACAACTGGAATATTGCACTGAATTCTGAGCAACATTCCTCATGTAAAATAGAAAAATCATGTGCAGGGAAGGCTAAGAATATGCTGAATATCTTGAAATATACGATATTGGGATTATGCATTCCAGAGAATGTAGAAAACATTAAGTATATTTTGAAATGTATATGAAATACTGTCATATGGAACATAAAAATAGGCTCAGCATTTTGTTACTTTCTAAATAATAATCACTTTAGATTGCTCTGGAAGTAAAAGTTACTTAATAGAAATGCCAAAAGTTCTGTTTGAATCATGAGTCTTCAAATTATTTCCTTAAAACAAAATATCTTCTACACTTTATTCCTGGATTATAATGAACACTTTTCTTTATTTGAGAACAATATATAATTATTATAAATTATCTATACAAAATTATTTTGAAAACATTAAGTTCAACTTAAATATATTTTGGTAATAAAGCAAAAGTAATAAAACAGGAAGGTTAAATCCCAAATGTTATGTAAAATTGAAAGTTGAAAAGAGTGCTTTGGCAATAATTACTATTACTCAATAAAGTTTATTGTTTAACTCATAAATTATAATTGTTTAATAATTACCTTGATGTTGTAAAAATGCCATACACTAGTGTTGTCCTTGGGTTATCCGTTTCAAGCAGAAACACATCCTCTATAAAAGGAAAATGTCATCATTCTTTTCAAGTTCCTAAATAGTAACTGTATTTTTAAATTTTACCCTAAGAAAATAACTTCAGCTATGAAAAAGTATTATCAGCATCATTCCAATTAAAAAACTAAATGAACTAAATGATAGGTACATGGTAAAATAAGTTAAATAAAATGTTATACAAACACTAAAGGGATTTATGAAGACTATAACCTTATAGAAACCATGTTAATAAAATAATTTAAGTGGAAAAGGCACAGTGGAATATAATATGAATGAGAACAATGTAAACCTTAAACCATACACCAGAATACAATAGGAAGATTGCCAGTGAGTGTCTCTGGTTAGCACAGCTTTAGAAGCTTTTCTGCTGCTGCTTTTTTTCTGCATTTTCTAGATGTCCTTTAATGATAATATACTTTTTTTATTTAAAAAAAGTTTGCAAATCTCTATTTCTTTTTCACCTAGAGTTAGAAGTGTAACATAGAAGAGAATATTTTCACAGTGACTTTTTATCTATACAAATTATGACTTTAGCTTATGGTCAAAGTTGCTAATCATATTTTTATTTAATCAACAATTCCTCTAAAAACAAGAAGTTGTATATTAAAGCAAAGACAATGGTATAAATCAGTGACTTTCAACTTTTCCCACCTCATGGTACACATAAACTCATTACTAAAATTCTGTAGCACAGCCAAAGATATATTACATGTTTTTCTGATCTGGTAAAAAAAAGATAGGTATAATTTTGATTTATTTATTACTGTGTTCACTGTTGTTATTTTTTTAATTGACAATTTGAGGGAGAAGAGGTCAGTGTCTCTGGCTAAACAGTCAGATATTGACTGCATGTGTTAAAGTATCTTGTGGCACACCAGTGTGATGTGGCCACTGGCTGAGAATCGCTGGTGTGAATGATAAGGTATAGCAATATATAACAAAACCTAGAAGTAAATTCCTGATAGAAAACCCCAATTAATAACAGTTGTTATGATTACAAGAAGTGTCTATTTTTAGTGATATTTTTGCAAAGAGGTTCTTGCTCAGGAATACAAAGAAAGAGGTATTTATTTTAAATTCACAATAAGTTTAGGACCTCTTAAGCAATAAATTAATAACCACTAGCCTTTCTATATAGGAACAAAGGCTGACATTGTTCAGATATCTTTAAAAATCAAGAAAGACAAATATCCAGAATCACTGCAACATAAACATACTTATAAAGAATCTGGGGGAAAATAATGAATGACTAGGTCATAACAAAAGTGGTTCTTAGAACTTTTTTCTACAAAAGCTGACATAGAAATGTTTGTTTCTATGAGCAACATAATGGCTTTTGAGGAGACCAACTACTTTAGTTTTTATAACTGTTAAAAGCAGTACATTTTTTCATATTATAATATGTTTTTATTGCTTATTTCCTCCCTACCTAAAAATCTGAGTAAACTGAATAAATTTACTGATAATAACTAGCATGTTATATTTTAATGAATTAAAGTAAAAGTAATTTATAAATGGCATTTGGTACACTATAATGTGTACAGATTATTCTGATTAAAAAAAAATGTTTCTTAGTAGAAAGGGATCAGATTATTAGTCCTGGTTTAATCTGGGAAGTACAGCTTTCTTCCTGTCACACATGCTGAAAAACTTTGTCCCAGAGCCAGCAAAAAGAACCTAGATTGGAGCACAAGTCTAATTCTACTATAACACTTTTTCATCTAACCTATATTCTGTCCATTAACTGTAACAGTACAAATATATAGCTGTATTCTTGTATAAATTGATTTGAAAACAGAATATTAGATTTCAAATACATGGGGAGAATTAAGGTGGGGGTGGGTAGGGCAGGGAAGAGTAATGGGGGAAAAGTGGAGACAACTTTTATTAAACAATAATACAAATTTAAAAAAATATAAATGAAATACATATTCATTTTAGAAAAGCACAAATATATCATTATGTATATATAAAGTATATAGGCACTCTTCTCCCTCTCTCTCTCTCTCTCACACATACACACACATACACACTCATTCTTCATATACCATGGTGAATTTAAGAACTAAATGTGTCAGCAATGCATTCAGGGACAAAACAGATTTAAAAAATACTCGGGGAAATTTATTAACAGTATCCAGATCATTAATTCACATAGATATGTTGTTTAAAAAATACTTAGGGGAATTTATTAACAGTATCCAGATCGTTAATTCAAATGGATACATTGTTTATTCTAAAAACATTCATGTAAAAGACATCTTCTGAGAGTTTATTAAATTTCATAAACATTACAAACTCTCTTTCAGACGTTTTTCAAATTCACACCTCTGTACCTAATTCATCAAAGTGCGTTTCCGGGCCGTCTTCATCTGTCACAGAGCACACCAGCCTGGCTTTCAGGAAGGTGGTCCACTTGTTGACCAGGCTACGCAGTCCACCCGTGTCGTTCTGAAACCGTTTTGTAAACACATTTCAGTTTGCTTAAATAAATATTGAATTCCATTAAAAATTCAGCTTGGGTTCTTATTACCTGAGGATTCATTATAATCCAAAGGATGGCTATGTTAACCACATTCAATATTAATAGTTAGAGAGGAATATCTAAGATATATAGTAGGTAATAAAATAGCCATAGGTTATACTGTACTATTATTACTCTATAGTATGAGATCAACTGACAATATTTCACAAAACCAATTCAATGTATATTTTCTCTAAAGCTTTACAAACAACAATAAATGTTACAGAACATATGTAATTTAATTTGTTTTTTCTTTATAATGTGCTGTCTTTAATATGAATGGAACTATTGTATACCTTGAAGTTTGCATATTCTACTGTGGTCAGGAGAGTTGGTTTAGACTTAACACCAAATGGTCCTCAAAAGTTCTTTTTTCTCCTTCCTTTGTCTGTGTTATCATTTACTTCTCAGTATTTTTTTGCTGAACAGATGCTTTAATATACATATTTCTCCACACAGGATAGGGAAGATGGTTTTGGAAACATCCGCAAATAGTCTCTATTGATAACATGATTTTTTTCTGTATGCTAAGAAGCCTTTTGCCCCTTCTGCTGGCTTTACTGTCTTGGGGAAAATGATTAAGAAGCAACTGAGCTCCACTATTAGTAGAATATTGCAATATTTAAAAATAAACTATTTTAAACACTAAGTGATTTAAGAAATAATTCTACACAAACAATGCTATTCATAAATGTCAGGATAAGCCTGTGAAACTACTATAAGAGCAGGCATCATGACATTTTCTCTTAGCTGTTATATATACTTATCATTTATATAAAAGAATATTTTGGTTACTATTTATAATTAAAACAGTATTTTATTAAAGCATTTCTTAATTTTCACTGTTGTAGATAGTTCCTCCAAAAATGTCTTTTTGTAAGGTTTTACTATATTTTATCTGCAAGAATTGTTCTCTTTCTGTAATATACAATTTAGCTATTTGTTTTAATACTAGTATATTAAATAGAAAAGCAAAAATTAACCAAAATTGTTTATTTGTATAAAACCATAACCAAAATATTTCCTTGAAGTGAGCTTTGTGTTGAAATAGGGTATGTGTTTCTTATGGTTGATGTGAATCAACATTAAGTTCAAATGTCTCCAATCAATATTTTATTAATTTATAATAGTAGGTAATAAGAGTAGAAAGACAAACCACTGGAAAAAATATTATATAAGTTAAAGTGCTTAGTCTTTCGCCTTGACTGGTATGGCTCAGTGGATTGAGTGCCAGCCTGTGAACCCAAGGGTTACTGCTTGATTCCCCGGACACGTGACTGGGTTGCAAGCCAGTTCCCCAGTAGAGGGTGCACAAAAAGTTAACTACACATTGATGTTCCTTGCCCTCTCTTTCTCCCTCCCTTCCCCTTTCTAAAGATAAATAAATATAATATTTTTTGAAATTAAATAAAGTTCTTAATCTTTCTTCAAATTAGAATAGCCACAGCAATCTCAAGAAAAAAAAATAACAAAACTGCTTATTTTTTGTCACTCTCCTAGATTTTAAGCTATGCTACACAGCTATAGTAATCAAAACATTATGGTACTGGCATAAAACAGACACACAGATCAATGGAACAGAAAGGACAGCTCAGAAATAAACTCATACATATATGGTCAATTAACTTATGACAAAGGAGACAAAAATATAAAATGGAGAAACAATAGACTCTTCAATAGATGGTGTTGGAAACATTGACAATCACAGGCAAAAAGAAAAATAAAACTGGGCCACTTTCTTATAGCATTCAAAAACAGTTAACTCAAAATGGATCAAAGACTTGAACATAAGGCCTGAAACCATAAAACTCCTAGAAGAGAACAGGCAGTATGCTCTTTGACATAGGTCTTGGAGATAATTTTCTGCATTTGACAACAAAATCAAAGCAACGAAAGCAAAAATAAGTGTAACTACCTCAAACTGAAAAGCTTTTGCACAGCAATGAAAACTATAAGCAAAATGAAAAGGCAACCTACTGAATGGAAAAAAATAATTGTAAATCATATATCTGATAAGGGGATATCCAAAATTTATACAGAACTCACATAGCCAAAAAAAGTCAATTAAAAATGTGCAGAAAATCTGAATAGAAATTTTCCAAAGAAGACCTAGAAATACAGATGGCCAACAGATGTATGAAAAGATGGACAACATTACTAGTTATGAAGGAAATACAAATCTAAAGCAAAATGAAATATCACCTCACACATGTTAGAATGGCTATTATTAAAAAGATAAGAAAGAATGAGTGTTGGCAAGGATTTGGAGAAAAGAGAATCCCTGTGCACTGTTGGTGGGAATATGAGTTGGCATGATTACTATGGAAAATAGTATGAAGGTTCCTCAAAAAATTAAAAATAGAACTATCACATGATCCAGCAATTCCACTTCCAGCTATTTATCTGAAGAAAATGAAAACGCTAGTGCAAAAAGATATAAGCACCCCATGTTAATTGTGGACTTACTTATAATAGTTAATATGATGAAACAACATCAGTGTCCACCAACAAATAAATGGATAAATAAATGTGTATATATACAATGGAACACTATTTAGCCATAAAAAATAAAATCTTGCTGTTTGTGACAATGTGAATGGACATTGTACTAACAGAAATAGGTCATACAGAAAAAGGAAAATCCTGTATGATCTCTCTTATATGTGGTATTTAAATAAAAGAAAACACCTCGTAGATATAGAGAACAGATCAGTGCTTGCAAGAGACAGGGTTAGAATGGAAGAAATGGGTGAAATGGGTAAAAAATTTTTTTGCTTCTTTTAAGTTTCAATAAATTGAATTTGAAAACAATGTTAATACTTACAGGACATATTCTAGCAATCATTGAATGAATCTGTTTTGTGCTTCTGCTATTGTCAGTGAGTTTCTCCTTGAAGAAGAAGTAAATCTTAGCATCATTTGGATCAGTTCCATCTGGGATGACATGTGCATCCACAAACATAGGTTCTAAAAGAAATATAGACTGTTTATAATATACGCTCATGACAAAAAAAAATCCACCTACTGTTCATCCAAGTAGACCACAGACACATGCTTTCTCCATCTTTGGTAAAAAAAAAAAATTGATGTTTATAGGCAAAAAGTCTAAAAGCAGCAGTTGTATTCAGTCAATACACCACATTTAGAATGTCAAGTGCCACAAAATACAGCAATAATGTAACACCTCAAACTATTTTTCTCTGTCTGCAATACACTCTGAAAGTTCAGTAAATGCAAAAAAATCTCTGTGTACTGGTGAGTTTTAAAAATTGAATAACTTTTCTGGCAGTTATTTCCCATGGAATCTGATAGTCATTTTACGGGGTGAAAAGTTTGTTTTGTAAAGTGTGGTTTTCAATCTAGTGCATATAAACTCAAATTCTTTGAAGCAGAATGGGAGGCCCAGAGTCCAAGATCTGAAAAACAAATTTTTCGGAAAATACAGTCTATGAAATGAAGGGGAAACTTTTCAAGGACAAAATGATGTCATTTGAAGACATAGAGGGATTCCTTATTTCAAGAACAAAACAACTTTTAGCATACTCTATTTCCAGATGTACTGGAGAAATAACTTGAAGAAGTAAATGGACAATCAATGCTTTCTTGTGCTGGCCTATCCGTTGAAACAAGATGCTTAACTGTGGTAATTCATGCTTAACTGTGTAATGTTAAGTGAATTGCCAAATTTAGGGTAAGTTAGAAATTTTCCCTAGGGTGAAATGACAAAGAAGTTAGTGATTTCTTCTTCCTCTAAACAACAGCAACTCATTGAAATTGTGCATTAAAGTCAAATGTGCACCTTTCCTGATGTGAATTCCATGTGATCCCAAGAACTGGAAGCAGTCAAGTACTGATAATCATAAAATTATTATATTTGATTTCTATTAGGTATTAGCCAAACTATGAAAAAATAACATATAGCAGTTCCATGATTTAGAAACTAAATATAAAACAAATTGGGAGTTTCTGAATATACCATACTCATTTTTCATAAATTTATAATTTATAATAGTCATAAATTTAAAGAATTTTAAACTTTAACATTATTAAAATATACAAACTCTCTAAATGAATAAATACATTACATTTAAACAACTAGAGAAGATTCTTGTATACAAGTATGTATGGTAAATATTACTGTCATTTTAATTTATTCATATAACCAATGATAATTGTATGTTGGTTAACAGAATGTATCTATGTTAATATTTTATTTATCATAAAAATTTTAAATCATAAAATACTGATTTATTGTTATATATGGCCTAGTACAGTAATTTTTTTTACCACTTTTACATAATTTTCATTATAGTTAAACAAATTGGTTTAAAGCATCATTCTGAAAATGCATAAAATATTTTCTTACCACTTAGCCATTTGGAATTGTGTTGATCAGTTCTGACTGCATTCCTTTTAGTTAAACTTCGAAAAATAGCAGCATCTGTCCCCATGAAATCTATATACATTCCAGAGAAAAGTTCCTCATCTATGAGAAAGAAATTGTCAACACAATTGTGTTTTTTAAGAAATCAAGGAGAACTTGATTATTAGATCACCACACATATTACAGAGTGTTTATAATTGTTAACTGCTTAACACTGCCCACCAAATAACAAGTTGAATAAAGTTTAATCTGGTTTCCTTATTGATTGTATGAATATCAAAACAACTTTATTTTATGTAAAAATAAAAATCCCTGTGCTTGTACTTAATTTGACTAAATACCTGTGTTTATATACTGTGCAACAGAAACAGCAAAAATAATATATGTACAGAAGATAACAAAATAGTTTAATTAATTATTACTTTGTTTTAATAAAAACACTGTAGTAGTCAGAAAACTTGGTTTCTATTTTTGGTAGTAATTAACAAACTGGGAATTGGGATCAAGCATTTAGTGTCCTGGATCTTAATCTTTTCATATGTAAAATATGGGAATTGAATTGTAACCTTACAAGTTCTCACCACATATTAGGAATTCTATAATTTTACTAAATGAATTGAAAATAATAGTTATTATTATTACTATTAATGACAGAGGCAAGACAACATTAAAATATTCAAAATACTATTAATTGATATAATTTCATCATTAAAAGTACACATTTTGATTTTCCATGCTAGGCTTCTATTAAGTAAATAAAGTGCTATATTTTCATTTACAAAACAATATATTAACATTGTGTTAATGATATAATGATATGTTAATAAGCTACATATGGCTTAACATACTAAGCCATAAAAAACAGAATGTAGGGAGAAGAGAGAAGAGATATTTTAAAATTAAATTATCATTATTGATGGCAAAAACATAATTTAATCTGTATTTACATAACATTTAACATTTAGTTTATCCATATTAATTTTTATGCTAGTAAAAAGAATAACTATTGAAAGGCTATGTGTGTCCCTAGAGAATAACACAGTAGTTAAACATCTGTTTAAAAACCAATAAAATGGATCAGGTCTGTCCCACTGAACCACCATGCAGCTGTGCTCTTTCACTGGTGTTCCGGAATTACTCCCTGGCTACTTTCAGACTGTGGTCATTGTGGCAGGCCTGGAACATTTTGAAGCACTCTGAGCTCACTGTTTATTCACAATTCCAACTGGCTCAGGATCGACCGGAGAATGGAATGTTTTAATATGTGTTCATCAGGTCATGGACTGAAACCCCTACCGGTTAGCAAGGGGGTATGGCAGGAACTGTATCACCCAGTTGTGCTTTGTAGTAGGGGTCTAAATCCCCTGGGAACAGATTAGAGGGAGATAACAAGAATGTGCAGGAAAGTGCTTGAGCAGTTTAACCTCTCTAAAAGTCTGTAAATATTTATAGTATCTTACACAAGTATTCTGTAGATGCATTGGTTGTTAAATTGAGATAACTCTGTAATTATTTCACACTTTTGTTCTACCCAATGACCCCCAAAACAGTAGGTTATAAAATCTTGTTATTCAACAGATTCATTACCACAGATATTACATCTGTATCCAGGTAGGAGAAAATAAGAGATGCTGGAAGACGGTATGCGGTGGAGAGGGCTGATTCTAACCCTATTACACACCTGATTAGTTATAACTTAAACATTACAAAAGCCCACACATCTGTCTTCATTTTATGTCTTAAATTCTCAGTAATTGGGAACAATAACTGTTTTATTTTGTATAAGAAATATTTAATTAATATCATTTTGGGAAGAATTTTGAGAATAGGGTATTTACTGAAGAATTTCTTCGTAGGACATAAGCAAAGATAAACTTGTGCCTTTTAACTTTAATCAAGAAATGTTTTGCTTTACAACTGTATTTCCAGTAGTCAGAAAAATCTCATAGGGTTTATGACAGGTTCTTTAAAAGATATATCTGATTTTTGGTTGTGCTACAATGACTAAAAAGAGCAAAAATACCTAAACTTGCACATTTGGTTAGATGCCACACCTGCATTGTGAAAACTGGAATTCAAATTCCCAACATTTCTTGGCACTTTAATAGAAATATTTGAACCAACCTGTGTTATTTAGTGGACTACAATTGAACAAAAGTATAAGGCACTGTGTGACAGAGTGAGCAGACTGAACAAATCTACTATGTAGTATTGGCGAGGATGTTGGAGATAATTTTAGGGGATAATCATCAGAACAAAGAAAATGATAAAAACAAGCTTATAAAGCTTCCTGTTCATTTTGGTTTCAGTTTTTAAGTTAAGCAAATCATTTAATGACTTTCAGTTATAGTATAAATTATAATGTTAATTGATATATTAAAAGGTAGTTTAGGAACACGCTCATAGGAATCGAAGACTCTGGTTGTTGAAAAATGAAGACCAACACCTACATTCAATTTTGTAAAAAAAAAAATCCAGCCCTGGCTGGCGTAGCTCAGTAGATTGAGCGCGGGCTGCCAACCCGTGTCGCAGATTCGATTCCCAGCCAGGGCACATGCCTGGATTGCAGGCCATAACCCCCAGCAACCACACATTGATGTTTCTCTCTCTCTCTCTCTATCTCCCCCCCTTTTGTCTCTAAAAATAAAATAAATAAAATCTTTTTTAAAAATCCAATTTGCTAAGGGAGAAACTATTTAATATCTTATCACAGTTTAACAGTAAGATTAATTATGCCTTGTTCTCACCTTTATTGTTCTAAACAATATTTAATGAGATAAAACTATGGTATTAGTGTTAACTGACCTTTGAAGTTTATTTTCAAAGCATTTAACTTCAAATAAATGAAAACTCTGTATATTGAACTAGTAATATCTATCTATTTATATTTTTATATATAATAGAATTTCTAAAGGTGAATAAAATTTCCTTCCTATTGAAGAAAGGACTTTTTAAGATACTGCTCCTGAATATTTAGAAACTTATGTGAAAAGACTCTGTATCAGATATATTTGGATATCTTGTAGTTAGTTTCAAAGATTTCTAATTTTTTTGTCCTAATGACTGATATACTTTCATTTCCTTCTTGCCCAATTTGAATGACATATATGGAAATAATTCATTGGATAACTTCCAAGTTTACATTTTAGTCAGAGCTAGATATACCTGTTTTAATTTAGTTTCCAGATATGAGAAAGAAAGATAGATTGCTTACCTCTTTAAATGAATCTAAGCAAACCATTTTGACCACAAAAATTATTTTTCCCTCTGTTCTGTTGTCAAATGATGTAATTTTACCATTGGCAATACATACAGAAAGCAAACAGGGAAAAGCATCTACTGTGTAGTCAACACTAGAATCCCAGATTCATCTTCACAATCAAGTCATGTTAAACCAGACATTCTAAACTGTCATAATTAACCAGAAGAGAATGTCTTTTAATTGAGTTATAGAAAAGCATTCGATGTTTGAGACTCAAAGACATTTATTTATCAGCGTATGTAGTAGCAAACAATGGGGCCTGCTTCTTAGCTGATATATTTTATGGAAAATGAGAAAATGAAAAGTGACTTTACCACCACCTCTCTTTTCAGTATAGCAATTTAAGAACCCACAGAGAATATATTTGGGTAACATATGCACTTTGGTAGCCTTTCAATTAGAGAGTAGTACTCTTTTTAATCATTTGTAAAAGATCACTAAACATGAGGAAAAGTGGATATATTTAATACTAGAAAAATACTATATAAAATATCCAAAATTACTTTATAACATATAACAATATATACATACATATACATGCTTTTCTGTAAATTGTTGACTTGTTTTAGGAATGACAGCCCTGTCATGTTAGAAGAAAAAAATACATGCTTATCATAAATATTCTTGAAAATGAGAAACTAAAATTTCAATTTGTCAGCACACGTTTCTTAATGCATTTATTTCAATGGGCATACTCTCTCATGAATTATTTTTCCTTGATCCTTTTTCATTGCCTTCTCCTCCTACTTTTCACTTACTGATCATAACAGAGACTGTGTTCACATTGGGGTTGAAAGAGCAGCGTCCTTTTCCAGATTCACACTTGGAGTCAATCATGAAAACTTGGTCCTTTAGTGTAGACAAAATTGAAAAGTAATAATAAATAGCTTTATATTTAGTTAATCAATTGGCGTTTTAGTAAAAAAAAAGCATTATCATAAATAGTAAGCTTTCTACTTGGTTGCTTATGTCTCCCCAGTTTACTATATGAAGACTTTATTAACCTATAGAAGAGTCTATCTATAAGTTACAAGCTAACCTCAGCATTGACTCCTTTTACATCCCTTAACCAACATGTTTCCTCCATAAACCTTATCCAACATGTTTTCTCCAAATCAACATTAGTAAAGCCCACTTGGAAATCATGAATTATTGTAAATCTGAAGTTGAAAATTCTCCAAAAGTAGAAAATTGCTCATAGAAGAACAATGTGTATAGGATTATAATATTTCTAAAATAATCAAGACATTTTAAATAGAAAATTTTGTTACCACCTAATTTTGTTATAAAAAGGATTAGATTAAATATAATAATTTATAATTTAGATAAAATGTTTTCTTTACTTATTTATTTAACAAAATTATGGTGATCATCTACCCCATGCCAGGCACCCCATGTATCCGACACATTAGGGATACAGTAACCAAAAGAGACAAATATCTTTTCCTTCAAGGAGTTTTAATATACTATAAAGAATATAAATATGTAAGTATAAAATATAAAGACAATGCTTAAAGTAAACATTAAGCAAGGAATGGAACTAGAAAAGCCCATGGACTGAGGACCATGGGCTCAATCTGAAATATAATGATCAGTGTAGCTTCACTGAGAGGGAACATTTTGTTGGGGTATTTATCTTTTTCTCGTATGAGTTAGTAAAAGCTATGACTTAAATTCTAAGAAAAAGGTATCAATTTTGTTGGTTGCACTAAAAAATGAAGGTCCCTAATTGTCGAGCTAAGTTTTTCAAAATTATCCTGAGAGGAATGCAGCTGCACTGTTTTTGGGTATGCAAAGAGAAGGACCAAAGTGCTGCCTAAAGAAGACTGGGCCTTCCCTTGTGCTTTAAGAAGACTGAGAATGCCAGTTATAAAAACAGACAATGGATTCAAGAAAATAGATTTGTTTTCAGATGCAATAATCTAGGGCTCAGATAATAGTAAACTGATACAGCAATCTCAGTGGGCATGGTAAGAGCAGTAAGGATACCAGAGAATTTGTAAGGTGAAGATCAACAGAGCTTGGCATTCAATTATAAACTGGGTGAAATTCAGGAAGATGACAAAAACAATGGCGATTCTGAAGTTTTGAATCCTTCAAGAAAATAAAATGAGTTCATTTTTGTTATACTGAGTGTGATATATTGTCAGAACATCCCTGAGGCCAGAGGGATGCATAGAGCTTAAAAAGAATCACAGTCCTCTAGGCTGGAAAAGTCCTACAACATGATCCACTTTGATGAATTAACTCTACAGTTGAGGAAAATATAACTTGCTCAAAATCTTGTAGCTAAACAACAACAAAAGAAAAATTAGCATTCAGTCTCCTGGCCCCTAGCTATATCTTGTTTCCAAAAAGTCATCATTTATATAATGACTACACTAAACATATAATGATAAACTTGAGGGAAAACAATAAAATTAGTAAGCCTGTTTGTGATTCCTTAGTCAGAGATGTACATAGATTTGACTAAAAAAATGAGTTGGCATTGCAGGAATTGGTGAGACTATGTAGCTACCATTCACTCCCCACTGACCTACTCCACCACTGTGCAGTGCTTCCGGACTCATGTGCTTTTAATCCAGACCTTGTCACGACCAGCAAGGGATACAGTCCACCTGAATATCACTAATTCAGGCACTCTGCAACAGTTCTTCACACTCATCTCCCAAGATCTCTATTTTTTTCCATTTCATTGGCCTTTTCTCTTCTTTCTTAACCAGTGTAGATTCCATAATTAATCATTTTAATATATTTTTTTTAAATCTGTGATTTTTTTTTCATGGCACCCACAGCCAGGAAGGCCATGTCTACCCACATTCTCCATACTTGCCTTTAAACTTCTTAGCAGAAGGTGATCCAACAAAGTATATTCAACATAATATGTATTTGTGACCACCTCCCAAAATGGACCCTTTATACTGCTCAGCAGCCTTTCAAGGACGCTCTTGTCAACGGTTCTCCTATTAATAATTTCATACGATTAACAACCACATTCCTGCCCTGGCTGGTGTAGCTCAGTGGATTGAGCGCAGGCTGGGAACCAAAGTGTCCCAGGTTCGATTCCCAGCTAGGGTACATTACTGGGTTGCAGGCCATAACCCCCAGCAACCGCACATTGATGTTTCTCTCTCTCTCTCTCTCTCTCTCTCTCTCTCTCTCCCCACCCTCCTTCCCTCCCTAAAAATAAATAAATAAAATCTTTAAAAAAAAAAACACACATTCCTTAGAAATTGAAAACCTTAAATGACATGTATTCAACTCTAAACTACCAAACTCATAAATATATATATTCTCTAATATATCCAATAATGAGAGAAACTCTCTTATTCTGGGGCCAATCCTTCCAGCAATTCTTTGGAACTCCTCCAGTCTTCTTAGGCAACTTTTAATTTCCATCACCCCTTTTCTTTGATCTTGTAACTGGATCCTTTACATCATCATCTAAACAATCCCTTCAACTCCTACATATTTCTCTCTGTCAGAGTCACATTTTTAAAGAACAATATATACTCACCCTCATTTCCTGATTTTTTACTGTCTTCTAAATCCACTTTATTTGGGCATCCAACCTCAATTGTTCTAGTGAAACTCTTTCTGATAAGGTTCTTAATCACAGTCATGCCATACAATTCAGTGCTTATTTTTTACATCTGATATTACTTGGACTGTCAGTGGTATTATAGATGGTTGCTCACTTCTGCCTTTTCAAAATGACTTATTTTTATTCCCAGAACCAACACACTCTTGTTTTTCCCCCTACTTCTCTGGCTGTTTCTTTTTAGTACTACTTGATGGTCCCCTTTGCTCCATTTGGCCATTAAAGTTGGGAGATCCTCACATCTGAGTTATAGTCACTCTTCTCTTTTCACACTATCCTGTCCCTGTGTGATTTTCCCCACTCTTTGGGCTTCAGCTGCTCTAATAAAACAATGACACAAACATTTATATAGCCAACTTTATATTCAACTGCCTACTTGATATTTCAAATTGAAATATCAACTTTCAACAGCATCTCACATTCAACAAAACCAAACTAAGGCTCATAATCTTAACCACAAACATGGTTCTCTTCACTATTTCACATCTCAGTCCATGGCAACTATATAATTAAAGAGACCAAAAATAACAAATAATAAAAAATAAGCAACAAAATTGTCAACATCTATATCATATTTCTTTTTTCTTAGCTAAACCCACCAGTATCACTTATATTATTGTATACTTTGTGCCTAATTGTCTTGTCTTCAATGGTACCACCTGAGTATAATTACCCCTTTGCTGGCCTACTATATCAACTCTGTAATTTATCTTACCACAGACCTCCCAAATACTCCACACCATAAATTATTTATAACATACACAAGTGACAATTCTGTTCAAGCCATTTTCATCTTAAGATTGTTTTAGGCATGAGGTAAATGCAGTACTTGCCTCCCTCCCAACCACATCAAAATTACAGCTAATCTACAGAACAACTATCATTCAGAATCACCTGAAATCTGGCTGAATAGAAGTCCTACAACTAGTAAGTTAAAGAAGACACCACACTGAGATTATTAGGAGGTACAGAGATGAGGAATGGGCTGGTCCCATACCCATGTGTGGCAGATAAAAATTAGGAGATATCTTAGCTCCAGAGATTGCCTCTGAGCAGCAAGGGGTCTCAGCCTCACACCAGGCCCCCAGCCTAGGGCTCCAGTGCCAGAAAGAGAAGTCCCCATAACTTCTGGATGTAAAAACCAGAGGGGATTGAGGATGAGGGCAGCAAAGGGATTCTAGAGTCCCAGGCAATTCCTCTTAACAGGCCTACACACAGACTTACTTGGACTCACTCCCTTTGAGCTCCAGCACTGGGGCAGCAGCTTCAAACTCAGCAGAGACCGCTGGGGGGGGGGGGGGCAGGAGGCGGCACGGGAATGAAGTGCCTGGCATCAGGGCAAGAGCTGGAGGGCAGTTTTCTCACAGGAAGAAGTGCTGGCAGAGGAAATTGTTCCTTTGATGAGCCCCACCCTCACAGAGTCAGCAGCAGGGACCATATCTGAGACTCCATCAACAGGGCTCACACTGTTTGCCCCACCCAGGTGACTCCCTGAGGCTCTTCCCCTCCCAACTTTTAGGTCCATCCAAGCTGTTTTCAGTGGATTTTCCAAATGAAGGGCCTGTCTTGGCTCATGCTCCAGATTTTCCTAAAATCTCTCAAACAAGCAGTATCTGGCCTTAGCATGCCCCATAACTTTTGCTAAGTGGCCCCAGACCTGGCAATAGCAGCAGCTGGCTTTGGTTCACAGTTTGGCCTTGCCTGGGCACCTCCAAACTCAGTGCAAGTAGCAGCCATTTGCAGACTGCTTTGTAGGTCATGCTGGGTGGCTCCAGGCAACACACTGCTACGGCTGACTGTGACCTATACTATCTGGGAGGCCCCAAAGCCAATGCACCCTGTGGACAGCTTCAGACGATTTTGAGGCACCACTACCCAACCACCACCACAAGCTACATACTTAAGGGGCAGACTCAGTGGATATTAGAGCCCCATGGAAATAAGTCCTACAGGGTGTGCCTCTGCACAGCTGATCTTCCATGGTTGGTAGTTGTTGGTAAAAGTTAGTCCTTGTAGCTGATTATTGTGAAGGTAAATCCCTCCCACTGACATGCCAACAGCAATCAAGACTCAACTATAACAGGAGGGTATACTCAGCCCACACAGGGCCACACCTTAAGTGCTCAGCTTGGGTGATTGAAAAAGCAGTGCCACTGGCCCTTATTGAACACTTACTACATTAGGCTACTCTACCAAGCCTGGAAGATATAGCAACTCTACCTAATACTCATACATAGAAACAAACACATGGAAGCTGCCAAAATGAGGAGACAGAGAAACATGTCCCAAATAAAAGAACAGAACAAAACTCCAAAAAAGGAACTAAATGTGGGTCAAAAATTGGGACAAACAATTTACTAGATACAGAGTTTAAAACATTGGTTATAAAGATGCTCATCCCTGGCTGGCGTAGCTCAGTGGATTGAGTGTGGGCTGCGAACCAAAGTGTCGCAGGTTGGACTCCCAGTCAGGGTACATGCCTGGGTTGCAAGCCATGACCCCCAGCAACCACACATTGATGTTTCTCTCTCTCTCTTCCTCCTTCCCTTCCATCCCTAAAAATGAGTGAATAAAATCTTTAAAAAATTAAAAAAAAAATAAAGATGCTCAATGAACTTAGTGAGAATGTCACTAGAATAAACAAGGACCAATCAGAAATGAAGAATACACTAACTGAAATAAAGAATAATTTATAGAGGATCAACAGAATACTACATGAAGCTGAGAATCAAATCAGCAGTGTGCTAGATAAGGAAGCAGAAAACACCCAATCAGAACAGAAAAAAGAAAAAAAACACACAAAAATAAGAATAGTTAAGGAGCTTCTGGGACAACTTTAAGCATGCCAAAATTTGCATTACGGGAGTGCTAGAAGGAGAAGAAAAAGAGCAAGAAATTGGAAATGTATTTGAAAAAATAATGATGGAAAATTTCCTAACCTGCTGTAAAAAACAAACATACAAGTCTGGGAAGGACATAGAGTCCTAAACAAGATGAACCCAAAGAGGTCCACACCAAGACACATCATAATTAAAATGCAAAAGGTTAAAGACAAAAAGAGAGTCTTAAGAGCAGCAAGAGGAAAAGTGGTTAGTTGCCTACATGAGAACTCCTGTAAGACTGTCAGCTGACTTCACAACAGAAACCTTGCAGGCCAGAAGGGACAAGGAACATTCAATGTGATGAAAACAAGGCTTACAATCAAGATTACTCTACGTAACAAAGCAATAATTTATGATCAGAGGACAGACAAAAATCTTCCCAGATAAGAAAAAGCTCAAGTAGTTAATTACCATTGAACCAGTATTATGTAAAATGTTAAGGAGTCTTCTCTAAGAAGAAGAAGAAGAAAAATCCAAACAATAAAATGCCAATAAATACATATTTTTCAACAATTGAATCTAAAAAACAAAATAAACAGACAAGGTTGTCAGAAGGGAGGGGGATTTGATGGATGGATGAAAAAATTGAAGGGATTAAGAAGTACAAATTGGTTGTTACAGCATAGTCAAATATAGCATAAGGAATATAGTCAATAATATTCTAATAACTATCTATATCATCAGATGAGTGTGAGATTAACTGGGATGATCACTTACTTAGTTATATAATGTCTAATCACTAAACACCCTAAACTAATATAATAATGTATTATCAACTGTAATTGAAAAATAAAAATAATTTGAACATAAAAAAAAGATTGCTACAGATGCCTCTTCTTTGATGCAGCAGAAAGACCAGTATCTTAAAAGTAGCTAGCAAGTTCTGATATGATTTTGTTTCTGCTATCACTCTTTTAAATTAATGTGTATTTGTAGTTTGAATCAATGAGAACAAACAATAGAACCAGAAGAGAGTTGGTGATGAAGAATCAAGGGACGAAAACACAGAAAAAAAATCAGATGTTTATATATGACAGTAAAGATGTTAAAAAATAGAGGGCATGACCAACACATCACAGACTAGTCTAGGGGAAAGAATGCTGAGTAGGGGAGTCAGTTTGGTTATTTATGTGAAAGTATAGCTTACTGGTCAGAGAGGTTTGTGTATAAGTAAAGAGAAAGGAGAGGAGTCTAAAAAAAGTTATGGATTCAAAATAACAATTTAAGCAAAGAAAACATAATCTTATTTTAAATAGAAAAATGTAAATGCAAGGGAAAAGGAATGAAGACATAAAGTAGGATGATGAAGATTATTAATCAAAGAAATTTATTGATGAAAAATGCACAACTCTTCTGACAAGAGGAAAGCTACAAAGATGCATAAACAGAATAGTTTGGTAACTGATTTACTTCAAAAGTACAAGGAATGATTTGGACACCTGTGATATTCTTGGTTTTCCCTGATATTCTTGGTCAGCCAAAGGTGAGGTTATCTGCTTGAGGATTGGCAGAGTCGTGGGCTTAGACGGTATTCAGTTGTTGGAACTGATGCCATGGACACCTCTGATAAAATCAACCAGAGATATGTGGTGATAGCCCAACATGTGTTTTTGGATTGATGTTTTATTTCTTATTTTAAATCATTATTTATGTGTATTGCATTACCTTTTTCTAGGAACAGAAGACAGAGAACAAAGAGAGAGGATAAAAGAAAAGAACTATATGGTTAGGAATTGATGCAGCAAGGATTGCAGGCTCTTTGGATGGACGTTATTGAAATGCTCTAGGAAAGCTCTGAATCAGTCTTGCCAAATAATGGGAAGGTAACAGGGTATGAGGAGAGTGTGTGTTGTTCCAAATGTGAAGTAGGCCCATAAGATATTCTCTGAGAACCAATGAATTGAAATTTAACAGTCAGACAGAAGGTGGTGGGTAGTGTGTCACAGAAATAAAGCTGAATATTTAATGAGTATTCTACTCTAACCTGGTTCACTTTCAAACTGGTTTCAAACCCATAAAGAATGACATAACTTAGTAATAACACAGGATGCTAGCCGTAAGTAGTACCTCTTGTCATTACAAAACACAATGTTAGTGATGAATAAGAAGGGAAATTCTTTCCAACTAGACTCTGCTTCATGTGGTAATTTTATGCTAGGGGACCTTTTATCCTAAACTAAAAAAAAAAAAAAATAGATGTTGGATAAAACTGCATTTTATATTTACTATAAATATGTATATAAATATATTATAATAAAATCCTTTGACCTGACTACCAAAGAAAGCATTATAAAGCTTAAAATTCATAACCTTTTTCATACTGAAATTTACTCTTAACATGTCCATATATTATTACAGAGATTAATTAATGGAAATGCATCTCCTTTGAAACACATCTTTAAAAGTGAGACTAAAGTAGTTCATATTTAGTAAAGTAATTAAAATTTATTCTATGCTGGTTTTCCAAAGGAGATTATTATTTTTTGACTGACTTTCCAATTAAGTCTTGAACTGCATAGTGGGCGATTGTACATGGGAAAGTGATTTCACTTGAAATCAGTGTCCTGAAAACTGTGATGCTTTTGTTGGCCCGTGCAGTGACTGCGCAGTCTTCAGCAGTGTGGGACAGACTGCAGACGTCTGGGGCAGCGGTTTGTTTAATGAATTGATCACAGGCATGTGGTTCTAATGACAAGCTCAGTGCAGCCGTCTGTACTCTTACAAAAGCATAGCTTTACATTTCTTTAAGAATTTTAATATTTTATATTATCTTGAACCACTCAGAAACATCTCAGGATGGGTCAAATTATAATTACTCAGTTATTTTTAAGTGACTTTTTATCACCAAAAGTTATATATGTATAAATTACATATATGAAAAATTAATAATAAAGGAATATAGACAGAGTGTTCAATGATATTCATACTAAAGTAGATTAATTTTTGTTAAAGGAAAATAAGATATATCGGTAGCAAAATTTAATTTTTTTAAATTTTAATCTATAAAATTGAATTAAAACATTATTTAAGAACTGAATTTTCTAGATTTAAGTTGCACAAAGAAACCAAAGTCAGATATTTTGAAAGACTTCAGTTTTTAAAATACTTACATTAAGTAAAGCAACACATTTGATTAACAGAATGAGGAAAGGCACTTTTGGGCTAATGAATAATTAGCCAATAATTGTGAAGTGGGATAAACACAGTCTTAAACATCACAGGTGAGGTTGAACCAGCCATATAGTGACTATTCATTAGCTATATATTTAGTCTTAAAAGATACTGTTGTTCATAGAACCCCAAATCATTTTAACCAATGTAAGAATAAGGCTAAATTATCCTAGAATGAGGCTAGTAGACTGCTGTTAGTCTAAAATCAAATTTTGTTTTATTAATTACATAAAATTTTCCTTAGCAGACACTTGGCATTCTGTTTCTTACATCTCTTACAAGTGTTTTTCTCACAAAAGTTTACCAAGTTTGAAACACAAATAAGAAATTATTTAAAACAGATTGAAAAAGTGAATGTATAATACAATATTTCTATAATTTGCAGTAAATATTAGAAGCACTTTATATTCTAATTAATTATGAAACCACCTCATTTTTCTTTATTTTTTACAGTTTTCCCATTCTGAATATATATATATAGATATATAGATATATATATCTATATATATATATATAATTTAAAAGACAGTATTTTAAGTAACTTGAACACATACAAAATGTAATATATTCTCTGTTTACAGGGCTTGAAACTATTTTATGACTATTGATGATATTTCTAAATTTTTACTCTAATGCAGTTTTAAGTAATCGCTGAAACTAACCAAAACTAAGAATGAAAAAAAACATTACACTTACCTCTGACCTCCTCCCTCTGTTCAAATAAGTACAGACCGGGCTGAAGGCACCACTCCCACAAACATACAGGTGAGTGCGGTTGAAAGCCTGAATGACACGGACGAAGTTCCCACAGCCATGCTAAAAGAATAGGTAAATGTGCAGTTAGTAACCCGATGATCTTATTGCTGTTTCTAAGTACTCCTGTGAAACTTTGCTACAAGTTTTTCTTTCTGCTTCTACCTTTTTGTTGTTAGGAGAAAATAAGAGGACAGCCTGGTTTTTACCGTTACTTCATTTCAGGCAGAAGGGAGTCCAACTTAGATAATGAGTAAAATAGCATGACTCTCTCCTATTTCATTCTATATGCTGTGTACATTTCTACATTCTGAAACTTTCTGAACTTAACCTTTACCTTAGATTACATACATCAAACTGTTTCTTCAAATTTTTTTCAAAACTTTATATGAACACATACACACACCTACACACTTTATATGAGTATAAACATGTACGAGTATTTATTAAGTGAAACTGTCTTTATGCAAGGCCCCTAATACCACTAGTACACAACGGCAAACACTATTGGCCTTTACAATTGCTGAATAGCACAAACCTTAAAGAACATGCCAGCAATGTTGCCTTCCATGAAAAATGATGCAATTATTAGTCTTTGTCCATGATCCCCCAAAATACTTTCTTCTCCTCTAAAATCTCCTTTCTCACCTGCTCCCAGTACAATCATTGAGAATTGTCATTCACTCACGCAGCATAATGAAAAATCACTATTGTAATCATAAGCTGAATACAACCTTGCAGAAGTACATGCGCTAGGCCATCACCAAATGCAGACTTCTGTGACTGAAATAACCACTGCATTTTCTACATTTACTAGGTTCTCTAACCTTTGCTGACTACAAATTAATTGAGCCTGAGATTGAATGTTGTTCCCTTCACAAAGTCATCTTTCTTTCAAAGAACACTATTAAAAATAATGTAACAAATCAAAGACAAAATTTTTAATAAAAAATATATCAAAAGATAGTGGTTTTCCCAGGGGTGGTCAGAGACTATACATGTTTTTTTTCTTCTATATATCATATATTTTTACTAATATTTTATAAGGTACATTATTATTTATATTATTAGAGAAGTAAAAATATAAATTTTGCTAAAATAGAAGTTATAAAGTCAATTATTATTTTATATTTTCCCATTATTTTTCCTTTTATGTTCACTATTACTTCACAGTAAATATGTGCTTATTTTCATATATAGTAATTTTATACATATGTTTTTATTATCAAATATTAAATCATTAACTATGCTGTCAACAAAATTAAGTCTTGCAGACCAGACTATACACTTTATTTTTATTTTAAGACATTAAGGATTTTTGTTAAATATATAGTGTCACTGTATCCAGACACCTGTTTATAAAGGTTCTTGTAAATTGACTATATAACTGCAGGTGATAATGTGTTTCTCTGGGGAAAAATCATAGATGAAGTATGATGTGTATATAATATGTCTATGTTAAAGGTATCTGTGAGCAATGAGACTTGTGTTTATTTTTTCACATTCAAGTTTAGTCATTCTGGGATTGTGTATATACTTTTTTTTCATAAGATATGAATTCAGCCCAACTCTATCAATAATAGGTTATGCCTGTCTCCTCTTGAGTTTTACAGACCATTTACTGTCATGAATTACTGGTACTGGTTTTAAAAAAAAAGAAAGAAAAAGGAAAAGAAGTCACTAGAATCTCTTTTATATTTCAAACACAGTTTATAATTATTTTATATATGTTATATCTATATATTATATATCCTTATTATGGCTAATATTTGTTGAGGATTTATTATGTGCTAGACATTGAAATAGTAATTTTATACATTTAACTTCTTTTACTTCTCAGGAGGTTGATTCTTTACTTTTATATCTCACATTTATTTAGCATTATATAGGCACTTAACATTCACTCAGCTTTTTTTATAAATCAACCCCTTTTAGAAAAATAAAGCTTAGAGCTTTTTTAGTTAATTTGCCTGAGGCCATACAGCTAGAAAAGAGTAATGCAGATTTTCAAGCACAGATGTGTCTAACCCATCTTGCAGTGTTAACCATTTTATAATGTGTCATTGTGTTAGGAGCGCGTAGTTATTAGAGGGGAGTTTTTATAACTGCTATGTTTACAGAGTGCTTCCTTTGATGTTAATTGTTTTTGATCTTCACAACAATGTTCCAATTAAAGTATTAGTCCCAATTTAGTGATGAGGAAATTGAATTTCAAAGAGATTAAATGAAATGTGCTAGGTTTTATAAGTAACTGAGCTGGGTCTTGACCCATGGCCACCCTGTACCATCCAGCTTTTCCACAGGAAGGGGCTGATTAGCCATGAGACAGATTCCCATGCCATCTAATGATGCTCAGTGTACCCCTCCAAACTTCCCCACAGAGAAAAACACAAAAGAAAAACACATCAGTTGAGTTAATTATTGAAAAGCACATTCTAGGTTCTTTCCATTTCCATTATATAGCCTTAGTTTCTGTCCACATTCTTTCTGATCTAGACCATTGCAATTCTACCAATTTCATTCAGCAAATATTTATGAACCCAGTGCAAGCACTGCACATGAGCTAGCAACACTGCAATGAGTAGATTCAATTCCTACTTTCAGAGAAAGGAAGGCATCATATATCAGGCTGTGGTAGATGCTATAATAGGGTAGTATTTTTCAAAATGTGCTATAGAAGGAAAGAAGAGAATGAGCAACAGTGAACTGAGTTTAAAGGTTTGAAAAGGGTATCACTGGAGCTGGCACTTGTAGAATGAGCTAGAGATTTTGACAGGCAAAAGCACGTGGACAAATTATTCTGACAGAAAACAGAGCATGAAGTAAAGAATGGAAGCACGGCATGCAGGGTTTACTTAGGGAATAGTGCCTAGAGCAGATAGAGGATTATCATCTGCTGGAACAAATGAGGCAATTAGCCTTGGTCTGTCATGCTGTAGTCCTCAGATGGGCATAAAGAATGGATTTAAGTATACAAATTCAGAGCCATTGAAAATGTGGATTTATCTTTTACTACCTGTTTGAACTTGAGACATTTAATTTCTCTGTGCTTCATCTTTTTATCTGTGAATGGTGATGATAATATTTGTTGTGAGCAATACAGGGTAGGGCAAAAGTAGGTTTACAGTTGCTGGTATGGAAGATAATACAATGATTAATAAATGATAATGCAAGAATAAACTGCTTTGCATACTCACAACTGTAAACCTACTTTAAGGCACTTGGAATAGTGTCTGGCACATAAAACAATAGATATTGGGTTAGATATTAGATTCTTTCATATGCATTTTCAGTTTCAATTGCCAGTATAAACCTGTGAAGTGAACAGGGCATGTGACCTGCACAGAATGTAGCAGGGGCCCTGACCAGAGCAGACAGCCACAAAAGGTTTGGGGAACGAGGCTGCAGTGAAATTCAGCACCATGGATGTTTCTGTTCATTGTGTGACTCTATTTTGAATGTATTTCCTGGTATAATGCTAAATGTAAAAATCAAGATGCTAACATTATGCAGAATATTTTGTTTAATACTATGTATGTCATATAATAAAGTGCTAGAATAACATAGCCCCAATTTTTAAGTTACTATATTTGATAGTGTAATTTACTTTATTTACCTGACAGTATTACTGCATTTACTGTGTGCTATGTATTGTTCTAAGCTCTCTGCAAATATTAACTCATTAATACTCTTAACAACCCAATGATGCTAGTCATATACTATGAATATGCCCATTACACAGAGAAGAAGACTAAAGGACAGGGAGGTTAAGTCTCCAGGGTCAAAGAGCTAATACGAGATTACTTTCTGTTTTTTTTTATATGCTTTTCTGGGCCTTGAAAGATGTCTATATTGAAGAATAATTATTTATATAATTAAAAATACATGTTTTAAAAATATATCCTGGAGCACAGATGAATAGGACTTTAAAAATATTATCTCTTCATGGTCCACACTATGCAATAGTGTGTGTAAGTGTGTTACTAAAGAAATGTATTTTCCAGTAGTTTATGATCCTCTGGTCACAGAAATAGGGAAACAAATACTCTACAATTAATAATCAAGTTTGACATTGTGTGCATGTAATGTGTAGATGTCTAATTATATGGAATCCTGCTTAATTTTCAAGGAACTTTTTCAGTATTTACTTAGCAAATTATTTTGTCCTATCTCAATGGGTATGTTTGACAGAATGTGCTATTGTTTAGCTCAATTTATTTAGAATGAGTAAAATATTAACATTTAGAAATAAATGGAGCATGTAAGAATGCGCATACATAGGGCAGAAAGGGAAATGGGAGATAGGTTACACTTTTCTTAGCTGAGGCAAAAAAAAATTAGCTATTTTCCCACCATGATCATTTATTTTCTTTAGAAACATTAGAACATTTAGAACATTGTAGCATTATAATATATTATTACCTGCGGTAGAATTTTAAATTATAATGAATTAGTTTTAATAACTTTAAATTTTGATATAAGCAAAAAACCTCAAGGAATAAGGAATATTTGATTATGGGTTTTATTGTTCCTTTTAATTACTACAGCAATATGAATTTTAATTGTCATTAGTTTTGCTTTGATATAATACTTAAAAGCAAAATGTTTCATTTAATCAAAATGTACTTTTAAAGTATGTGCAACACAACTTACAATAAACATTGTTAATGTAAGGGCATTAATAAACTCATTATTCCTTGTGTAGATCCACCAACTTCTAACAATCACATGGAAGATTCCCATGCTTGCTTGCTTCCATCTCTATGTTTCCAGATCTTGTTTAAATGTTATGGAGTAGCCAGATCCAGATCTGGGCACTGTGGATAATGACATTTACTACAAAGTGTTTTCAACCACAAGAGGAGGGTTAAAGATAAAAACGCAGTGAAGAAAAGTGCGCACATGTTTCAGGCATGCACATTGTGGGGGCAGCTGGCCCAGGCCTACATGGGGAGAGAAGACTCTCCGGAGATGTGACATCTGCACTGTTTCTGGAAAGGGAGAGTAGATGATCCCCAGCTGAAATGATGAGAAGATAACTACACATGAATAGAATTGCATGTAACATGTCCCAAGGCTGAAAAAGGGAAAAGATCAATATCATCGAAATAAAATAAGAGGACAGATTTACATAAGACAACATAGTTGCCACTGTAGCTGTCCAGTCTTTAATAAACATCCCAGCTTCAGTATGTTTTTTCTTCATCTTGTATATGTGTCCTTAGCATTTACCGTACTCTTCCCAGTGAGGTGGCATGTTTTATCAGCTAAAGGTGCAGGATCTACAGGATCTAGAGCCACATGTGCCTGAGTCAAACAGTGGCTTCCCACTTGCTAGTAGTGTACCTTCTGGTAAGCTCTTCACTCACTTTATCTTGAAAATGTAGATGATGACAATACTGTCCATCTTAAGGCTATTATTGTTTGATAATTATTGCATGTATATCTCATCAGATCTAGTATGTTGTAAAGACTCTTCAAAGTAGGACTCCATACTTATGCAACTCTGGTTTCTTCACAATAATGAATTTGTGCCAATTAAATATTCAATTTCCACATTTAAAAAGATGAAATATGAAGCAAGTAGATGATATTTATTCCAACAAAGTTTAAAAATCTTTAATATTTGGTTTTATCAGAAAACTATACAACACTGAAGAAAGAAATTAAGGAAGACACAAACAAATGGAAGCATATACCCTGTTCATGGACTGGAAGAATGAACATTATCAAAATGTCTATACTACCCAAAGCAATTTATAGACTCAATGCAATCCCTATTAAAATACCAATAACATATTTCACAAATATAGAACATTTCAAAAATTTATATGGAACAACGAATGACCTCAAAGTGCTGCACCAATTTTGAGAAAGAAGACCAAAATAGGAGGGATCACAATGCCTAACATCAAATTATATTACAATGCCACAGTAATCAAAACAGTCTGGTACTAGCAAAAGAACAGACACATAGATCAATGCAAGAGAATAGACAGCCCAGAAATAAATCCATGCCTGTGTGGTTAATTAATATTTGACAAAGGGGTCAGAAGCATAAAATGGAGTAAAAGTAGCCTCTTCAACATATGGTGTTGGGAGGTCTGGACAGCTGTATACAAAAAAAAATGAAACTTGACCACCAATCTACACTATACGCAAAAATAAACTCAAGATGGACAAAAGACTTAAATATAAGTCATGACACCATAAAAGTCCTAGACAAGAACATAGGCAGGAAAATCTCAGATATTCACACACCAATATTTTCACTAACATGTCCCCTAGAGCAAGGGACATAAAGGAAAGAATGAACAAAAGGGACTTCATCAAAATAAAAAGCTTCTGCACAGCTAAAGAAAATATTAGCAAAATCAAAACGGAACCAATCATATGGGAAAATGGATTTGTCAATGATGCTCAGTCAAGGATTTGATCTCAAAAATAAATAAAGAACTCACATGACTTCACTCTAGGAAGACAAACAACCCAATTAAATAGTCAAAGGACCTGAACAGACCCTTCTTCAAGGAGAACATACAAAGGGCCCACAGACATATGGAAGAATGCTCAGCATCACTAGCCATTAGAGAGATGCAAATTAAAACCATAATGAGACATACGTCATACCAGTCAGAATGGCCATCATAAAAAAATCAACAAACACATGCTAGTGAGGTTGTGGAGAAAAGGGAACCCTAGTGTACTGTTGGTGGGAATGCAGACTGGTGCAGCCACTGTGGAAAACAATACGGAATATCCTCAGAAAACTAAAAATGGAACTGCCTTTTGACCCAGCAATCCTACTGCTGGGATTATATCATAAGAATCCTAAAACACCAATTCAAAGAACCTATACACTTCAATGTTCATAGCAGCACAATTTACAGTAGCCAAGTGTTGGAAGCAACTTAAGAGTCTATCAGTAAGTGAGTGGATCAAAAAATTATGGTACATTCACACAATGGAATACCATACAGCAGAAAGAAAGAAGAATCTCCCATCTTTCGTGACAGCATGGATGGAGCTGGAGAGCTTTATGCTAAGTGAAATAAGCCAGGCAGTGAAAGACAAATACCAAATGATCTCACCTATAAGTGGAACCTAATCAACAAAACAAACAAGCCAGCAAAATATAACCAGAGACATTGAAACAAAGAACAAACTGAGAGTAATCAGAGGGGAAGGGAGAGGGGGATAGTGGGAAAAAGATGGGGAACAGTCATCAAGGAACATATAAAGGACACACAGACAAAGCCAAAGGTGGGTTGGGTTGAGGGTGGGAGGTGGATGGGGCAGGGAGGATTGTTAGGGGGACAATGGAGATAACTGTACTGAACTTGAACAACAATAAAATAAAGAAAAAAAGAAAAAAAATGTATACAATATACAAAAAAGTATTTTTTAAAGAAAATTTTAAAAAGTTTAATAAAAATGATTGTTTTGCAATATTCTAAAGGTTTATTTACCATCATTTTTCTACACTGTCCCTTTTTCTAAGGCCTGATTAAAGGACACTTCTCTATAGGTATCTTACATGTATGAAGTGAGACAGATTCATCACCAATTCTCATCTCTTCCATAGACAAAACATTTATTTGAGTTAGTTTACTTGTTATTTCCCAGGACACAACAACTTCGGCTGTAATAGAGCAGAACCCTCCACCAATTACTTATCTTATGTATATGAACTAGCTGTACAGAAGAATTTAAAGATATCCATGAATGATATTACAGTGTGATGAAACTATGGGAAAACAAAAGCGTGTATTGAAGATTTTATTTAATGACTTTTAATTATAAGAAAGCAAATGACAGAACATTTCTATTTTGCCAGAGTGAGAAAGAAATCTGAAGACTTGGCTAAGATTCTTTAGAAAATCAACAGAAAGTTTTGAAACAAGGATGTGCAAAGGTATCCAAATCTTACATATTCTGACTGTATGAATGAGAAATAAAAATCGTTTTGAACAAAGGGCAATTAAATCCAGTAATTATGCCCACAGGATATTATTGTGGTAAAAAGCAAGTCATGATCAGATCCACATCAGTGGGAAAAATCTCTGCATTAGAGAATAAAAGAAAGTAGTTTAACTCATGCACAATTATTGAAATAATAGCCTCAGGGTACAAAAAACAAGCATACTTCACAGAATTATATTTTATTCAACTATTGCCCCTCTAGAAGGCAATAGTAATATTCTCTCAAATGTTGCTTCCACATTTTTCTGTATTTCTCCCTCCAGATAGTGGTCCAAAAGATCCTGTGGGTGGCAAATATGCTGCAAGCTCTATTTGCCCATTTTTAAATTTCTCTTACAAGGTGAATTATGAACCTGAAAAAGTGTGACCCGTTGCTGAGTCACTCCTGGTGAGTTCTCTCGCCAAAAACACCCTCCAGCGAGACCTGTAGATTCAACACTCCAGAGACTTCCATGGCCCTGCACGGAGACTGACCTTTTCAGAACCTTAAAATTGAGACTATTAAGAGTCTATGAAAATAAAAGTTTCATTTCCACACTTTCTCCTTCCACAAGGATTGATCTTTTCTTTGTTTGAACCAACCTGATGAATCTCTGAAACACTACCAAGGCTCAGCACACAGTCTTCTCTTCTGAAATCACAATTTCTTACCTCTGCACTTATAATGGTAAGTATTTAGTTAACACTAGATCTAGGCTGTCCTGACCTCAGTTCTGATTGTATATCTGTGTGTTTGCACATTTACAGGTTTTGTTACCCAGTCACCATATGACTCTCATACCTGCATTAGCAACTATCCCCATGCTTACTTTATTAATGCTGACTTCTCCAACAAGATAATAAAGCTGATGAGAGTCAAAAACATCTATATTGGCACAAAATTGTATCTCTAGCAATTAGTCCTATGCCAGATACACAATAAATGCTCAATTAATATTGAATGAATGATTGAAAGAATGAAGAAACTTCTTTAGCAAATTATATGAGTTATTTTGATACTTGAATTCATCATGATATTTTTCATGATTTTAGATAAGGTGAAATGACATATTCTTCATTATAAACATTAAATGACTTGTGCACATTAAGGATCTGCCCCATCTAATTGTACCTGAACAATAATTAAAAGAAAATAAAAAAAAGATCTGCCACATGTGTTTCTTTTGTAATACTCAAGAGTACTCTGCCAGTTTCAGCAAGTCATTAGAAGAAATCAGTATAGATGTATTCCTTGACTCTATATGAAATCCTACCTAAAGGAACACAATTTGTACAAGTGCTATAGACTGAAAATTTATTGATATTTTACCTTCTTTAATTTTTGTTTCTATGGTTAGTTTTAACTAACAAAGATATCAGTCATCACTGTGATTTATGTCTCTGAAAGGTGCTTGCTAGCCATAACCTTTTTGTGGAGAATCTTTCTTTGGAAAAGCCCACATGGTATCTGGGAGTTGATCCAGATTCTCGCATTATCATTATTTCAGCAGCCTGCTGAGAATTCCACAGGTTGGATCCACTTGGAACAGGGATTATTACTGAAATCCATCATGAAAAGTGTCAGGGTACAATAACGAAAGCAAGTCAGGAAATTTTTACCCAGCCAGGCATTCCTAAATCACAGTGTTTAAGAGTTCCACTCCTTTTGTATTTACATTTTTACCATGTGTCTAGCAGAGGATTTGAAACACCAACACCCGTTGTCTCACTCTTGGCTGCACTCAAGGTACATGGATTTGAAGACCAAATATTTAAGTTTGGGTTTTTTTTTTTCTTTTTTAAATCACTCACTGTGGGATCTTTGCCAGCCATTTTGCACTCTTCAACTTTGATTGTAGATGCTGGCCAGAAAACCTGCTCGGAAAGGAAAATAAGGATTGTATAAATCTCACAGTGCATATGACAACTCAATGTTCTTCATTTACATTATGGTAACAGATTTCTTTAAGGTATTTCAATATTTATTTTTTAATATTCTATATTTTTATTTTATAAACTTAAATTAATATTTTATTATTTTATTCTCAAACTTCTGATTTTATTCCTTCCATCAATTTTTCTTTTAACAAAAGCCTTTCAATGTGTGCCATTTACTAATAGATCAATATTTTATAAAGTGAGATCATTATTGATGTGCACAATGTCATGTATATTTCCCCTTTTTTGATTTATAGTACACTTCTCTCAACTGCTTATATCACAAGAAATTTACATTTAAATTGCAATCTCAGTTTAATATTATTTTGAGCAAAACATACAACCAGGCTGGTAGATTTACTTAGAATGGGCTCCTAGGTACATCAACAGTTAAAATAACTGGGATAACATCCAAGAGATTCCTGCTCTGAAATACCGTATTAGCATTCCGAGTCACTATAGCCTTGGGTCAGGTCTGGTGGTGATGATTATTTTTTTTAATTATCCATTGTCCATTCTTAAAATAACAAGTTCAGAAATCTCCTTGTTGTAATAAATTTATAATTAATCTATTTTCATTTCTTTACACCAGTGAAGCTCAATTTATTTCCTTGTTGTAAAAGAGAATGATAAATATGGGCCACACTTGTTTGAAGAACAGTGCATTTAATAACTGTGTTCCTTCCAAGGCCTTCTTGGATTACATCAGGTGACAAGGAAGGTCTTCATTTAATCTGATCATTTTTTCATGCTATACTCTATACTTCTTTTTTTTTCTTCTAATATTCATATATGCAAGAAGTGTTTTCTCATTGAACTTTGGGTTTTACATTGTTAAAACCTATGAAACTACACAAAGAGAATTGAACTGATTATATTTTCAGTCCATTAAATAAGTACCAACCTCTAATTATTTATTAGCATGCAGCTAGTATTTTCTATTGTTCTAATGAAATATATAATTTTTTCATTGTATTTGAAAGTTGTAAAGAAAATAAGCATGTAGGGAGGTCAACATTGCCCTCTTGAAAATACTAAACTTACACTCAAAGCTTCTTGACTTATATTGTTAATATTCAAGGAAAGAATGTGATCTTTGCTGCCCACATATATCCGGTCCTGATCTTCATCCATTAATAATATCCTATAGTCTAAAGGGTGGTGGGAGAGGCTGAAGTATTCAGACGTCTTGGTTTCTCGAAGCTCTGAAATAGTGAACAACACAGTGAAAGTAAAGCCCTGTATCTTGGTTCTGTGATTCTATTATTTTAATAAGATTTATCTTACAGAAAAACTTGCCAAAAAAGTAAAGGTGCATATTCTTCCTAAAATAATAAATTAATTTTAAAATAGAGGTGTGTCAGTGGATATTTTTATTTAATGCTTCTGAAGTAGAACATAAATCAATAAATTCAATGTTAAAGTTTATGGTGATGATATTTGATTACAAAATTATTCACATTTTGCAAGAATCTCAATTCAGTTTTATTTTTGGCTGTCATCAACTCAAGACTAGTGAAAACAGATTAACCAAAACAACAACAACAACAACAACAACAACAACAGCAACAACACACAGTAAGATAGCAGATTGAACAATAAAAAAGTCCAGTGAACAAACAAACAATGGCACTGTGAATATCTTCCATGTCTGTCCTAATGTTTTATTGTTGGACTCACTACATCATTTTAGGATTATTATCTACTCTAAATATTTACCTTACTTCTTCAACATAATTCTTGCCAGTTTAACATATTTTTCTATAAATTACTTGAAAAGAAACCTATTTTTTCCCATTAGACCTCATTCAGAAGGCAATGCCATTTAAACATTTATGCATAGATTACAAGGAAAAATAATGAACTGTCAGTTGTTCTGAGTTTTTGGATTTCAATTTGTCAGTGATCATTGACTCATGTTCTTTTAACTTCTTTTACATAAAATATATGCCTGTATACCTGAACTTTGAAGATAATGAATACACTATGACAATACAGAAATCAGTAACAGTTATAGCAGATTCAATTTTCTTCCCAGTCTTTTTAAGGGTTTTGTACAACTTAAGACTTTTCCATCCAAATAGTTCAGGTTTTCTTTGTTCTTTAGATTATGACAATAAGAGAGTGAAAAATTGTACAAGAGTTTGCTGTCTGGGATTACTGTTTCAATGATAAACTATTTCTTTTAGTCATTGAGTCACAGCTACCTTTCTAGAAATTCTGATAGGGCTGCAATTTAACTTAAACCAAAACTGGAAATTTTAAGAATTCTTGTAGGAGGCCATGGATTACATTTTGTGAGTGTGTGGGCCACATCTCCTATGTGAAGATGGAGAAGTCACATATTTAACCTGTTTTCAAGGCTCACTGGTTCAGAAGGTCTGCCATAACATCCTTCAGGTAGTTTTATATCCAGCCGATAACCTGCAAATGCTATGAGCGTAACATAGTGATTATGAAACCAGGCTGTAAGTCAACTTCCTACGGTATTGCACAAGTCACCTAACTTCTCTGTGCCATAATTTCCTCATTTTTAAGAAACAACAATAAGTACCTTCTGCCAAGAGTTTTCATAAAAAATTGATTGATTTTATACATGTAAACATTTGAATGATCAACAGAGAAAGTATTCAATAAACTCTAATTATTACTGTTAGTATTATCAAGTTTCAATGATTAGTTGTAAGGAGATATAGAATTAGATAAAATATATATTTTCCTACTTTTTCCTTTTTTTTTCAATTTAAGGATCTAGATCCCTAAACTTACCAACATGTGGCCCTAAAATATGTGCTCTAATATTCTTGCCATATGATGATAAAATACAGAACGTTTTATGTGGAAGGAATTATTAAAAAGTTAGAAAACTATTTCAGAAGAATCTTGAGAAGTCAATCATGAAAATACACAAGAACAAAAGATGTTGAAAGATCATTGAAACAAGAGAGACTAGACCACAGATCTCTGGAAGTAGGGGGTTTGAGCTGTTGAGCACTGTGCAGGTATGCCAGCCCAGTTACTGAGCCTTGCCAGGTAATACACACAGGTGATACAGTTGGCGGTAGTTGTGCCACTGGCCCAGAAACTGGAAAAGCTTCCTTCAGGAGGAGAGCTGGAAAGTGTGGTGGCATGTCATCAGGAAAAATGTCAGCCCCTGCTAGACCAGAGGTTATTACTGAAATAGGAAAAAAATCCAAGAGCTCAGAACAGGTGAGTGAATGTAGAATCTAACAAATGTCTCTCAAAAGCTGGATAAGTCACAGGTTTCCTTGACTTTGCCTAAAAATCCAGGGTATTTTTAAAAACTTGTTTTTCATCCTATGGAGCAAATTCATGCTTGTGTAATTTTTCCCTAAAGCATCAGGTAGGTTATAACTTACAGTACCTAGCAGATGTTCACTAAATACTTCTTTAATAAATGACTCTCCAGTAAAATACATAGACTAAAGAAGTAAAATGTGACTAAGTTCAAGGCCTGGGGACCAACCACTGCAGTCAGAATCCTGGCCCTGCTATTTCATTTCTATGTGTGCTTGGCAACTGTCTTTATCCCTCTGCTCCAGTGTCTTCATTAGTAAGGTCAGGATGGTAACAATACCTACATCATAGAGGTGTTGTGAGGTACAATTGTTAATACACATCAAATGTTTTAAAGAGTGCCTGTTCTCAAATGACACAGGTTATCTGTTATTATATCTTGGCACAAGGAATCAAGCTTCTGCCAGCAAGATAAGAATAATAATTCCTTACACAGGGAGAAAATATGGAGGACTAAATTTCCTGACTTGTATTTATTAATATATTTAATATTTCATTTATTTTAAATGTAGAATAATCTACTCAAATTATTTGAGCAAGAGAGTAAAATAATGAAGTCTGTTTCAAAGGAAGTATTTTTTTTTTCCATGTGCAGGACAATTTTGGAGTTTGTGAGACTGGAAAACTATGAGATGCTGTTTTAGATATGATGTTGATAAAGACCTGATATGCTAGAAGTGAAAAGAAAGAGTTGATGTGAGGAACACTTAAAAGATTAGAAATGATTTTATATGAAGTTGGCTTGGGGGTAAATGGAAGATATAAATGCCCACCCCCAAAGCTGTAAACAAAAAAGAGGAGAAATATATGAACATGACTTTACTATATTCAGGGAATGCAAAATTTCCTTGGTAGAGAGATTACTTGAGTGTTGACAGTTTACATTTAAATCAAAGCAGATCTGTCCTATGAACATGTAAAATTAGATGACCAATTTGCCATAAAAATATCAAGTCTGCAGTAGAAACTTCCAATTCTTCTCATGAATTATATGAAGTTCTGAGAGTAAGTAGATTGGTCTGAAGACCTATCTGAAGTTCTTATCTGAAATGAAAAGCAAAGCATAGAGATCCATTGATTGTTAGATCCAAAGATGGAAGCTCTGCAATTGAACCTGAAAGTTAGTCATGACGTAGAGGCAACAATGTGATATTGTGGAGAGATTACAAATTTGATCCAGATAATTCTGAGTTGAAATCCCAGCTTCATCACTTACTAAGTACGCTACTTTAAGAAAGCTACCTCATTTTTCCCAGTTTCAATTTCCTCCTCTATACATTGGTTGCATTAAAAGATGTCTCAAAGATGGCCCACCAGCACACAGTGGAGGATCAGTGTGTGCTCCCCTCAGGGGGAAACACTGTTGACCCTTTGTCTCACAATATCACCCTTTCCTCCCTTGTCGAAAGAGCTGGTCTGGGCTCTGTAGCCAGTGAATGGTTTAAATGTGGCCCTGTGACCAGTTACAGTTAGTAAGATTTAAAGAGAACCCTTCTGCAAGGGTATAGAAGAGGCTTCTAGGGTTTTAAAAAGGGGCACAAAAAAACAGGTGTTTTTTTCTACCTCTGGATATTGGTATGTAAGCATATTGTACTTGTAGCAGTTGTAGCTACCTAGCAGAAATTTAGAAGAAAGCTCAGTTCTTTAAGAAATCATTTAGGCTCTGAATTAACACTTGAACTGCTCTACAACTGGACTACTTCTGTTATAGAGTATTAAAAAAAAACCTTGCATTTCTTAGAAACTTTGAATTGAAGTTGTCATTTTCTCTTCCGGAAACCCTTACTGGCTGACACATCTTTGGGTGTTCACAGTTCCCAATTACCATCTTCTCACCCATTCTACCATGATTTGGTTACTTTGGGCATTTTAATAAAATACTTACTTTTTCTTTTTTCCTTTTCTTTCTAATCTATAATGAAGTAAAACGAAGAGTGTGATCTTAGCAGGGGAAATAGCCTCAACTGAAGTTTACTTGCAAGTAACAAACAATTGCAGTTCTCCTCTTTAACTGTTTCATTGGAAAATAATCAATTTCTTGCATTAATTCAAATACTACAGGGGACAATAACTACATTAATTTAAGACCTTTCTGGTCCAGGGATTTTTATCTATTTTTCTGAGCCATAAAGCTATCTTCAAATTTAATTACCTTCAGCTCATTGACAGTTGACAGCTGTTAACCAAGGAAGATTTACTTTAGAAGTGCCCCTGTTGGAAGCCTAGAAGCCAAAGCTATTTAGTTAAAATGCTACTTAAATTGCTGTTAGTTAGCCATAATTGAACTTTGGGGCTTGGGAAAAGAAACAAAACATTTTTTAAGAATTAAGAGATGAGTTCAAAGCATTGAGAATTTTTATCTCTCTATAAAAAGAAGGACTAAAGAATCCAGCATTTGAGTTTGTAGATCCAACTTAAGTCAATGAATGAGTCAATGATTTGGATGTTGTTAGAGAAAATGACTGATTTAATGATGTGGCCACAGTGAGAGAAGGAAATCCCAATGACTGGTTTCCCATCTAGACAAGTGAAAAGACTCGTGCTGGGCTACAGTGCTTTAAATGTTAGTGATGATGTCAAATTTTTTACAGCATTGGAAGTACAACTAGTTGTGTTGTTTCTCAGGACATGCTCAGCTGATCAGAAGGAACTTTGGCTGAGAGTATGTGGTATTAGAAAATGTAGTGGCCCCCAAAGGGCAGTGTAGGTCTCTAAGTCCTTGGGAAAATCTCCTGGTAAACATGATTAAAAAAATACTGCATGCTTCTATCCTGAAATCTACATTTTTGTAGACTTCTATGATGGAAAATTACTGCAATGCTTCCCATGCCAATGATCCCCGAGGGAAAATCTGCAGCTCAATATGCTTACCTGAAATTCATGTATT